GGATTTGCAATGAGAGCAAGAGCAGCATATATATATTGTAGAGGAGAATTCTGGGTAGAAGCCAATGCCTTATAATAAGCAGTAGATGAGGCATATAAAAAAGGATTTTTAGGTAAAAATGCATGTGGAAGTGGATATGATTTTGATGTATATGTTCACAGTGGAGCAGGTGCATATATTTGTGGAGAAGAAACAGTAATTTAATTATAAATATTTGAAAGGGTTTAATTGAATCATTAGAAGGAAAGCCAGGAAAGCCAAGACTTAAGCCACCTTTTCCAGCAAATGCAGGATTGTGGGGTTGTCCAACAACTGTGACTAATGTAGAAACAGTTTCAGTTTGTCCAACAATTCTTAGAAGAGGAGCAAATTGGTTTGCATCTTTTGGAAGACCTAATAATCGAGGCACTAAATTATTCTGCATTTCTGGTCATGTTAATAATCCTTGTACTGTTGAAGAAGAGATGTCTATTCCTCTTAAAGAATTAATTGAAAGACATTGTGGAGGAGTCAGAGGAGGTTGGGATAATCTTAAATGCATTATTCCTGGAGGTTCATCAGTCCCTATGTTACCAAAAGAAATTTGTGAGACTGTTCTTATGGATTTTGATGCTTTAAGAGATGTTAGATCTGGATTAGGTACTGCTGCTGTTATTGTCATTGATAAATCAACAGATATTATTGATGCTATCTTAAGATTAAGTAAATTCTATAAACATGAATCATGTGGTTAATGTACACCATGCAGAGAAGGTACTTCCTGGTTAGTTGATTTATTGGAAAGAATGAAAGTAGGAAATGCTGATTTTGCTGAAATTGATTAATTAGAAGTAAGATATGCATTCATTATTACTAGGAATTAACATATTAAATTGAAGGTCATACTATTTGTGCTCTAGGAGATGCTGCTGCTTGGCCTGTCTAAGGTTTAATCAGATCCTACAGAGAAGAAATCGAAGAAAGAATTGAAGACTATCATGCTAAACATCCAGTCAAATCTAGATAATTAAGAAGTCATCCTTAATAATCAAGTCATTGATAAATACATAAAATATTAATATCACCATCTTGGAATTGTTTGAGATCTCTTTTTCTCTTGTTTCAATAGTTTTAAACTCTTTTTCTTTGCCTTCTCATCTAACACTTTCTATACTTTCTCTAAGTCTTCTTATTTCAATTGATATTTATCCAATATTACCTTATCCTTTACTTCTTATTTCTTTAATTCAATTCTTTCTTTTTTTATCTATTCCCTAATTTTGTTAATTTATAAATTTAAATTTCTTATTTTTGTTTTGTACAAATCCTTTGCTCTTCTCAACATTATTGATCTCACTTTTGTTTTAGTTCCTATATTTAATTTCTTCAAAAATACTGCATGCTTATCAGCAATAGTTCTAGTCTCTTTTTTCAAATGTTTAAGATAATCTTCATTATTTAATTTTTTAGAAAGAACTCCTAAATTTTTTGTTAAGTCTACTATTTTTTTATTCTAATATTCTTCTATATCTCTTTAATATGAGAGATCCTTAGCTATCATTTCTGTTGTCGCTGTTTATGTTATGATTTAATTATTTTCTTTAGGAACTATTTCTGATGTGCCAAGTTGTACTTCTCTATTTTTATCATATTTTATAATTTTAGTCCATTATCCTCCAACTAATGGTTCAGCCAATAATTCCCATTTTCTCTTATTAAAAAATTAGAACTAATCGCTTGCAATTAATAAATAGCACTAACTACAGTTTATTTCTAAGAATTTAATCATTTTATTAAATTTTTCTAAATTTACTGTTCTACCCCACGGAGGATTAGTGACAACAATTAAATCATCTTTTTTTAATTTATCTTTGATGAATTCTTTATGCATGCTAGTGAAATCCAATTAAGCAATACTCAAATTTTCGTAAGACTTACTTCTTAATTGTGGCGATTATTGACGTATGATTCTTTTTAAATTTTTAAACCAATCTAAATTCTTATAAAAAATTCTTAACTATTGTTCATTTATATCATTAGCCAAGATGTTTATGTCCAATTCATTTAATTCATTATCTACCTAAGTATCCTTAAATATTGGCATTTAATAAAGAGGTAAAAACATTCCTTTTCTAATGCTTTTACTAAATTTACGAACAAGCATTGTTAAGATTATTGTACCTGTACCGCAAAAAGGATCCCATAATGTAACACCTTTTCTCATATCACAATAATGAAGAAGAGCATCAGCAATATTTTCAGATAATGTTGCTTTACCAATATATTTCTTGAATCCAAATTTATGCAAACTCTCAAAATGTAATTGAACATACATTGTGAGATAGTTCTGATAAAGATACGCATTAATTGGTAGTGGAATCTTTGGTGAATAAGTTTCACTAATATAATTTTAAGGTTATTATTCCTCTCCTAATAATAATTATTTTCGTTCGCTTAACAATTTCCTAGTCTTATTATTATTTAATAGATAATTCTAAATGATATCTCTCCAATTATCACTATGATTTCTTAAACATCTTTTAATACTGAGTCGTATTTCTAGATGAGAATTTATTGGAATGTAAGGATGAAGCTAAACCTTTTGCATATTCCTCATAAATTCACGTGCATTTCTTGCTTAAATAGGTTTATTTATTCTAATATTTAGATAGGTAATGCATGTAGGCTTATACAGGATATTGTTTAGATTTTCCATTGAAGTTTCAAAAAACACAGCTGAACTAGGATATATGGCTAAGTTTTTCAGAATTAAATACGTAATCTACTCCGTTTTGCAGATATATTAAATTGAGCTAATTCTTCAATTAAAACCTTTTAAAGTCCTGGAGATGTCCAAGCTAAAAATTTATAAATAGACATAAATTAATTATTAATTATAAAATTCACAAAAATATATATTATGGTTCCAAACTTTTCTAAATATTTTGAATAATAATTGAATTTAATTTAATAATTATTATTTGGATATTTATTTGTTAGTGGAAATTCTAATTATAATTATTCTAATTATAATTATCAAAATAAAATAATAATTATAATCAATTCTATAATTTTGTAATCACTTTAGTAATAGTGAGCATAAATTTATAGAAGCCAACTGCATGCTAATATGATCCATTAGCATCTAGCACTTTTTCTGGAAAAGCAATTCCAAAGCCAAAGTTATTGGAAATCTCTCTTCCACCATAAACTAGAGTCATATTTTCATCATCATAATGAATCTTATTATCTATCAATTCCATATCATTTATTTAAATAATAGGTAATGTATTTCTTTAAAATCCTGTAGCAACAACAACTTTAGTACAGAGTTGTAAATAATTCTTATATTCAGCTGAATCGATTTCAGAGATACACTTTGGTTTCTATCCAATTAAAATATTTTTAGCCCATTCAGCCACTCTTCCTTTTAGTCCTGTTGAATCATTCATAATTTTTCCATCTGCTAAATACTCAGCTAAAATGATAGGTCTTCTTTAGAATATATATATGTGTTTTGGTCTATTAGGTGAATTATAAAGATTCATGGCTGCCAAGATACCTGAATGACTATTTCCAAATATGCAAACTGTATCCTCATTTGTGATATGTTGATGAACATCTTCTGGACTCATGGCATCATATAGATCAATTTCTTTAAGGTGAGGATATACCTTAAATAATGAACCATCCACTGAGTCTATTGTATTCCTTTTCGAACCAGTACAATGAAAGACATATTCACTCTCAAACTATAAATTTATATATTATTCACTAATACCTAACAATTATTCTTTAGTGTAATTTTATTAGTGTGCTCTAAATTCTCTATTTTTTCTACAACACTTTCCATTTTTACAATTCTACCTTTACATGTTTGATCCAATATTACCATCACTTTCTTAAACATTTCATAAGAGAGTCCAAGTTCACATGTAGTATTTGGGTCAAAATTTTTAAATATCTAACATCATAAATAATTCTTACTTCAGCAGGATCATCTATTTCTTTATGATTCTCTACCCATCCCATGTTCTTTAGAGTATTTAAAAATAGTTAAATCTAATCATTCAACTTAAATTTACTTTTGTGTTGGATGGAATGTGAGTAAACTAATTCAATGCGCCGCAATTAAATTAAGGATCTACCCAGGCGATAGAAGTTAAATTGTTTTTAAGCAATTAACACACTGTAATGATACCTGCTGGTCCTGCGCCTATCACTGTAAATTTAAAATTCATTTATAATTTATCGTTTTTTAAACAAGTGTTAGAAATTGAGTTGTATTGTCATGCTTAATAGGTCATTTATCAAAGTTCGTCATTTAATAATACGATTTTATTTAGAAATTCAATTCATAATCTATATAAAAGTTTATTCGTTAAAATTGTAAGCAAGTATCTAACATTATTAATCAAATTATATAAATTTAATTTAATAATAATTTATAATTAAATTATTTTGTCATAAACTTCAAATTATACGTTATTAATTAAAACACAAATCACACCTTTTCAATCTGTTTTGAGTCTTATTTTAATCCATTTTGACAATGTTAAAAGCTTTTTCTCTCACTTTAGAGGTAGATCTTTCAAATAAAGAAGAAAATAATTGTTTGACATTCAATTGTTTTAGAATTCATATTTTTTATTTATTCTGTTCCAATGATTGATTAATAATTATAATAATAATTTAAGACACCCTTAGCATTATTCCCTTATAAATTTAATAAATTTAAAAAGTATATTAGGCATCGCAAGAGTGATAATTTGGGGGTTAATAATAATATTAGGGAAAAGACTTTAAGGAATAGTCAATTATTTAGAGTTTATCTCGTTTTGCTATTTACTTCATTTATTTATTTATTTATATATAATATGTTTTGAAGATTTATTATAATTTTTATTTATAAGAAAAAAAGAGAAAATATAAAAATAAATATAAAATATTTAACATATATAGATTTAAAAATCAACAAGCATGACACCTAGCCAGAAATTATAAGAAATGTCGACCTAGAATAATAAAGTAGAATATACCAAATTAAGTGAATTGATGATCTTCATATTTATTAATTTATATCTAAATTTATTCTTTTTGTTTATCATTGCATTTCTAATAGAAATTTTGCATCACATAATTCCCAAATTAATTATTGATTAAAATTAGCAACATTGGGGGTACACAATTATTCATTAGAATCTTGCAAATATTTGCAATATCATCATCTTATGCGAATGTAATATATTTTTAAGCAACATTGCTTGAAAATAAAACTTCATAAATACCTAGCAAATTTATCTTAACTGACTTCAAGAATTCTAGCCTTGATAAATTTACCAATTACTTCAAACCCTTTTGGTGGTCCTTAATTGATCATATGTTGCACAATATAATTTCCATATTGACAAAATGATAATCTCTCACACAAAGGTATTAGGGAAATATAAAGTTATTGTAGTTTATAATTGGGAAATATTTCAAGACATTTCTAAGCAATTCTACATCCATAAGGATGAGAAACAATATGATCAACATTATTTGTTACAACATCAATTAAAAACTCTGCTTCAGAGGCCAAGTCAATAATTTTTTAAATTACATGATTTCCACATTGATCGAAGATGAGATTCAATACTTGGCCTTTGATTTATTAGATTAATTGTATTTTCTATTAAGTTTACATGTATTCTAGTAATTTTTATATAACTCGACATCCAAATTTATCATAGCACATCTCCAAGATTTTAAATTGTAACTATTCAAATATAAGAGTTCTGAAGTTCTGATTACTATTTTCTATAATTTTTTGAATGACATAATTTCCAAATTTGTGTTTAGAGAGTAATGGCAAATCATCGATCAAGGCTTTAAAAATTTTATCTTTCTAAAAATCGTTTCCTTGAATGAAGGACTATTAGATAACAAGAGAAGCGTATTGATCTTAGCATTATTATGACTATAATAAAAAAAGGAAATTTACAATAGTTTGTTCTGAATCTGTTGAAGATTATAATCTCTTCGTTCGTTTTTATGAAAAATATCCATCTTAGTATGGATAATAGATAGGAGGTTGTGGTACCATGTATTGATGAAATTCTTGACTCAATGAATGCTATCTTTACTAAATGAAAGCTGATTAGACAGTAAAATAAAAATTGTTTGGATCATTTGAAGGAAATTCTTATTATCTTTTTTAATATTAATGATAATACCCTCCTTCATCATTTAAATTTGGACTTTCTTTGACATCTTTGAAGCTTTTTACAGGCTAGATGATGAAATAGATAAAACATTTACAGATTAAGAATGCTATTATGATTTAGTAATAGAAGATCTGAATTCTGAACATTCTGATTCATCATCTATAGAGATAAGAGATCAATTACCATCTAGTAGAGAACCTATCATATCTTTTTCGGATTGCTCAGTTTCTTGCATTGATTTATTAAATAATAAATAGAAAAATTATATAATCAGGATTCAGTATTGTTTTGGTTTAGAAGAGTTAAAGAATTCTCTAATGAGACAATTAAATTTGCATTGAAGTTGTTTCTATTTTGGTAAGGGTTTCAAGTGTTTATTGTAGATTTTCTTATTTTTTAAAGGAGATCTATTGATGGGTAAGCTTTCACAAGGAGAGAATTATACAGATTAAACAGTTTTTCGATCTTTAAGTAGACGATTGATGGTTTTATCTTGACGCATAACTTATTATTTGATATTTTGAAGAAAGCAATTTGAAGTTGGTATATACCTATGAGTGCGAGAATGAATGATTAAAGGTTATTCGGTTTTAATTCGTTTTTATTCTGGTGAATTAGTTTTAGTAGGAGAGGTTTAAAAATGCATACTTTCTTCTAGATCTGGTTTAGTGCGTAATATGAAAAGAGGATTTCTAGCATAGATTTTGAAATTCTTTTTTTTATGATCATTTCTCATATATTTTCTAGCTCCATCTAATTTACTAAGAAAAACTTCTGCTAATCTTGTTTTTTTATGATTAGCAATTTCACATAATTAATTAGGTAATTAATCTTCTTTTAAGGCAGTCTCTCCACATTGATCACATACACAGCTTTTACGTCTAACTTGAGTTGTATCTAATTTAGGACCATCAAGGTTTTTGGTAGAGAGATGATATTTGTTATACATAATATATTAATTAATGGATTAATCTACAGTAGCATTAAAGGTTGATAAAATGGATATATTGTTAGGCTGAGGTAAAAGAGTATCAAATCAGCAAGATAGATTCTAGTGTCATTCTATTCATATTATTGGTATCTAAGAGAGATGGATAGCAATGGACATTAGAAAAGAGGTACTCTGAATTTGATGATCTGAATAATAACTTAAAGAAGGTAAGATTATTAATTGATTCTTATAGGTGTTTACAAATTTACCTCCTTTGCCAGGAAAAACATTATTTAAGTTAAAAGAACATGTAGATATTGAAAAGAGAAGAGTGGGACTGGATTATTACATTAAGGTAAAAAGATATTACTACGTATAGGAATTATTGAAAAGACCAGATGTATTTAATTCTGAGTCAATGAAACAATTTTTATAGTTGGAGAAGCATGCTTAAGAATAAGTGGTCAATCCACCAAAGATGTTAGGAGAAATTACAGGATTCATTCATGGATTAAGAGATTTCTATATAGAGAGATCATAGAGTAAAATTATCTATTTTATATTTACTCTTTAGATGTCATTTTTGTGTTATCCTCAGATATGAATGTAGCAAGTAGATTTGATGCTTATTTAACCAATATGAAGATGCCTTGGGAAAAAGAAGCACCTCCAACATTATTGGCTGTTGGATGTTTAGAATGTTGGGTTAAAACAAATGATGAAAATGAATTTAAGTATGAAAGAATGTGGAATAAAACCTATCCATCATAAGCAATTTGTTTGTATTGGGATGCAGTGACGTCAACTTTAGTCATTGGATTGGATGAAGGAAAATTGAATTTATTAAAAGTACCTTAAGAAAACCAATTCATAAGATATGATGAAGTACTCTTCTAATTTATTCATATTAGTAAGCAGACATCAAAGCACATTAGGGTAGAGTAATGGGTGTTTTCTATGATTCCATAAATTCACATATTCATTCTGTATCTGAAGACAAGAAATATAAAGTCCTTGACTTTTAAAGACAAATCACAGTTGCTGAAATCTAGCCAAGCTAACATGGTTTGACAGGTTTAGCTGCAGATAAAGATAATAGAAGAATTTTTGTTTCAGATAGAGGAGGGTACGTTCATGTATTTGAAATTACATCAGCAACAATGGGTCCATCTTTGGCTGTCTCAGTTGCATCCTAAACACTTTCACCAATAAGAGGAATCTTTTTTGATCCCGTCAAGAATTATTTATTCACTGCAGGTTTTGATTAAGGTGAAATTGGTATATTTGAAGTTGGTAAATCTGGAAGAGAAAAATTTACTAAACAAACAGCAAGTTTAAAAGGGAAATTACAAATGAGAGAAATTGTTTGGTCACCTTCCAGAGGAGAATGTCTGGTAGGTAATAAAGATGGTACAGTTACTGTTTGGAGTGGTAAAAAGGCTGCACCTATATGTAATATCTATTCATTACTATCTTTTAGTTGTAATTAAAGCTCACAATACTGATATAACCAAACTCTAATGGTATGAAGATAGACATATGTTAGTAACAAGTGGAAAAGAAAAATCATTAAAAGTATTTCTTTTTAATTATCTTTTAGTTTTGGTAACTACCTAAAGAATGGAGAGATAAAAAGATTGAATAACAAGAAGAGTAAGAATATGAGCAAATGAAGAAATAAGAAAATATCAAAATAAGCATTGAATCTACTAAAAAGGTATTTCTAATCTTTTTTTCTTTTTTAGAAAGAGTTTGATTCTGATGAAGATGATCTAAAAGGATGGCATAAAATGTGAAATGAATATCAAAACATAATAATATATTTATATCATTCAAATTTTCATACTTTGGTTACTCTTAATCCTTTCATCTTATTTCTATTTTTTTATCTATATTTAGATATATTATCAATATATTTTTTAGATTTTTCTCATATTAAATTAATTGTAATAAGTAGAGTTAGGCTATAAATATGAATTTCAAAGAAATACAGAACTGAGATTTTTTAATTCTAAATACTAATAATAATAATAATAATAATAATAAAGATATGTTGGTAATAATAACCTAAGTTTTTTATACCTTAGTAAAAGAAAGTTAAAATATATTGATCAAACTATGAGAATTAATATTTGATAAGAAACAAAAATTGTTTGTATTGCACAATTTAAGCTTTTTGTCTAATTAATATTTGTAAAAAATTTTTAAATAGCAATCATATTAATAATAATAATTATTATTTATCTTTAAAGTTTATTAAGTTAGGTGTGATTGTTTAAAAATACAATAACTCTTACCAAGTAGAATATTTTTTATTATCATTTTAGACTATTTGTATAATAGATTTTATAATCCTTCTATTTTCTTGCTTGTTTTTTATAATCCCATTCTAATAGTTAGAATTTAAACAATAATAAATAATTGAAAAAGTAAATTTTTCACCTCAAAATAGGAAACCTAAGATTGGGGGCTTAATTTAATTGAGAAAGGCTATTAATAATACAATATTGAAGGTTTATTGAATATTTGATAATTTATAATAAAGCAAGGTTCCAAAGATCCATATTTGCAATTGAACAACACGACCTTATTTCTAAAACCTGGGTTTTATAAATATTTTGGATATGTTTATAGCGAATTTACAATAAGGAATTCAAATTAAATATAATACAAAAACTACCATAATGTAATGATAACTTGTTTTGGAAAGGAGAGAAAATATAATTTTTAGTTGAAATTTGTCTGAAAATCTCAGTTGAAGACAATTAGTTATCTTATTAAGGTGGATGTTATAGAAATGGCTTAGTTTACAAAGAGTTAGATCAGGAAGAGCTTTAACCATTTGAGAATCTATGAATATAAATCCGACATGTAAATGATCCATAAATATGGGGAGTAGAATATTCATTTAATTCTACAAAACCCAAACAAGATAATCATTACTAATTTCCAAAATTTATTAAAATTGTTTGTTATTAGGATGTGCAGGGATTATCTATATACTATTTTTATACTTAATTTTGACTCTAAGGATGAATAGCAAGAAAACGCAATTCGTATGAGGAATGTTTGTGATAGTTGATGAAATATATTGTAAATGTATCATGATTATTGTTATGCTTGTCTTTATTCAGCAACTCTATTTAATGATAATGTAATAGCTTAGGCCCAATTTTCAACATAGAAATCATATTGATCTTTTTCTTCAGGATTAAAATATTTGAAACATTCATCAGGAGGCATTTCTTTTCTAATAAATAAATAAGAATGAAATACGTGGAAGTGGTAGCAAAACAAGAATGATCTCTGAGTAATTAATCTAATTTTTCTTCATCTGTGATTTTGTGTTTATTATGAGTTGATTAGACTTCTAAGAACTTAAGAGCATGTTTTTTAGTTCTAATATCTAAACCTCCATGATATATTTCAAAAGTAAAGGAATAAGGAATCTAAGTAGCTAAATATAGATTGTACCTTTAAATCATCATAAGCATAATCCATAGATGTTCCTGGAGAAAGATATCCTATTTCATGTCCACAAGATCCCATTTTACAAGTTTCACAATGTTTTTCTCTAACTTCAGTTAAGATCTACATCATATTGGAAATATTTTCAGTAGCTAATAAATGAGTAAGAATAGTTACGTTATTCTTTACTATAAGCATAAGGAGTGAAGAGTGCTAAGGTTCCAGAATGAATGGAAAAGAAAACGTGTGGTGAGAATCTTTTTAATTCATCTCTTACAGTTTATGTTTCTGCTTCAGAGAATGCAAATGGTCCAGGTGCAGTTCTGACCATTTCTGGATCATGATCCTGTGTAATTAGTGTAAAATACTTTAGACCAATGTGATTTGTAATTACGATTTAAATCAACTCCATTTTCATTTTCTCTTTTACAGAAATCTCCATTTTCAACTTTTTCTCTGGAAAGTGGATTAACATTGACAATCATTCTTAATTCATAATTATCTTTGATTGGTTTCATTTCTTCATTTTGACTACAGAGTTTTTTTACAAAATGTAAACCCGTTTCTGGAGAGATTAATTCTCTTGCATGTTCACCAAAAAGTACAAAACCTTTATTAGGTTTATTTTGATTCTTATTTAGAGTGACCATAGATAATTTAGGGAAATCTCTAACCATTTCTAATTCTACTCCTTCACACTTTTCAATTGCCTAAGCTATTTCAACATGTATATCCTAAGTAGAGTATATACATTTATATAAATACAGTAGAACGATGATAAAATGATGGGAATCCAAGGGAATTTACAATTGTAAAGATAATGGCCAACAGAATGAGATTGTTCATTTTTATAATTTAATATACTTAGTTATAATTTAAGATGTCATATATAAGCTTTAAGGTAATAGCAGAGACGAGATATTTATAACATGTGAGAATCTGTGGCAATCATTAATTACTTGGTGATTGGGATCCAAATAGCTCATTATTGTTATATACAACCAATGTAACTTATCCAGAATGGACTCATGAAAGTAAAATTCAAATTGACCCAAGTAAGAATAAAGTTATTCATTAATAGACGCCAGATTGGAATTCAAATGTTTAATATAAGATGGTGATAACTTTTAATGGGAAGAAGTCCCTAATCGAAGACATAGATGTGATTTCAGACGCAATTTCTTAATCATCACTTTTAATAAGGAAGAAATGAATGTCAGAACATTTTAAAAATATGAAATCTCTCATGAATTTGTATAAGAAGACTTAAGTAAGATCTATAATTTACTACTTCATAGTGAATGTCTAAAGACTCAGTAGGTCTAGGGATTATGATCCATTTAATAATGATTTAGATTCAGTATATAAAATGCATTATTCTTATAGTCAGATAATGAAAGTCTGCCAGAATTAGTTAAATAAATTACAGGAATCACTTCCATCTCAATTCGTTAATTAGAAAGTGATTGGAGAGATATTATTAAAGTAATTCAAGACTTAAACCTTTTGTAGACATATTTTCAAAATAAGCAAAAGTAAAAATCCATATCAAAATTCCGTAAAATTTCAGAGTAGTATGGTTCTCCTGAATTAGTATTTGATTACAAAAGAAAAAGATCGCAGTCTTCATCATAAATTTTCACTGATTCTTACGTTATATGTTTAAGCTTGAAGATTCCAATTTAAATAACTACTATTGATTAATAAATTCGAGTAAGAAACAAAAAAGGTAATTAATTTACAATTTTAAAATAGAAATTCTTAACAAATATAAATTCACTTTTACTTAAGATCCCTATTACAATAATATGTATGATTTATTTAGTAACAGATTGAGTCTCAAAGCAATATGGATAGGATGGTTAGGAATATCAATCTAAGATGAAATTGAATACAATTTTATCTAATAATATATGTACAAATTTCTCATCTATATAGTTATGAACAATATAAATGTTATGGTATTTAATTGGATGAATCGTTATTACCATGTTTTACTTAATTTGTTGAACCAGTTTTTAATAATTTAATTCCAATGTTGAATTTTAATTTAGAAGATGATTACCTCAAAATAAATTAAATATTTGCTAAATTTGTACAGGATGCCATGCTTTGTACACTTTTTAATAATCAATTCACTCATTTGCATTCAATCTTCATTTTTGATTATCATCTTTTTTTGATTCCTATTTTTATTAAGGAAGGTTTGATAAAAAAGAATGAATACCGACCACGTATTTGTACTATTATGAGAAGATCATTTCCTAATCCTAAATAATTAAGAATATTATCTTTTAATTAAATGATGCTCTCATCTTTATTAATGAGTGATTTAATCTCACTTGTTGAATTAAAGGATTTAAACAATTTTATATCATGTGTTCCATTTCAATATCAAAAATTGACATAAGTTTCTGGAATGACTGCATTTACTATTGAAGTTTTAGGTAGAAAAATTATACTTGATTATGGAAATGTTGGTTTAAATGAAAAATAATTAACAAATTTGATATTCACTGAAGATTGGATCACAAAAGAATCCATCATACTTTTGGGAATTGATAGCATTTCTATCTCTAGTGGATTAAATCTTAAATTTCAAATTGTAGAATCATTACACTAAATGGGACAGTAAATTTAGTTGATCCAACTTTTATATAAAAATAATGAAGATGATTTTGAAAATAATTAATCTCTTTTATCTTTATTACAAGAACTTACTAATCAAGTTGAATTAATCAATAATAAATACTAACAACAATTAATTACATTGATATTAGATTCATCTCAATAGGAAAGAATCAAATTGTATAATATAGCTGATGTTTTTATCAAGACATCATTAAGAGATGTTATTTCTTCAACATATCTAGAATATATATATGTAAGACAATCTTAAAAACAGAGAGCCAAAATCATTTTAAGTAAATGGTGTTAACCTAAAGTTGATCATTAAAAAATTAACCCATTTAATATACAGATGTCTGCATAAATCATTTCAGATTATATAAATAATGATCTACCATCATATATCAATGTACCTAGCAGTAATGATTGGCTTCTCAGATTGAATGATCATCTAAATTATTGTGAAGAATATTGGCTTGATAAATAATTATATGATTCAGCCAAAGAATTAACTGTAGGATTGAAAGATAGACAATTTTGTTCTGTTGATACTACCAAAATAATCTCTAGATTCAATAATAATCAACTTCATGATAATCAAAGAGTCATCATCTTGGCTTATACTGAAACCTTTAAATAAAAAATATAAAAAATTGAACAATTAGTTTAAGCCTTAGAATAATTAGCTTTAGATGAGAATAACACTTTAATTCTCATATCAGATCAAGAATGTGAACTATTAGAACTAACTTTTGGTTCCATCAATAATTTATATATCATTGCTTAAGATGGTCTTTTTATTAAATAAAATAATTAAACAACATTTTAATAAATTATTGACAAAGATGAAATGGTTGAAACTAAACTTTAATAATTATCTCATCATGAACATTTTATTCTTTCTTAGAAAAATCTTATCTATACATTACAAATAAAAGAAAAGATCTAAGACTCTAATGCTGCAGCCAATATTCTTATTTCCAATCTTATAAAGGATTTAAAATTAGAATTGGATGAGTATATTGTGACTTAAGATAATTACTCCATTAAAATTAAACATTAATTTCAATAAATTGAAGAATTATTAAAGATTATTATTTTGAATGAAGTTGATAAGAAAGGATTAGTTTCTTTTGCAAGCCTCATTTCTTTCGATCGATCATGGTTAGATAAAATAACCCAAATTTTTTAATTTGCAAATATGCCTTTAAATAAGGTAATTTTAAAATTTTGATATTTTAAGAAATTTCATTGTGTTTCAATCTCAGATCAAATAGGAAAGAATAGCAATCTAGTCATCGAAACTACTTAAGAAATTATATTATTGTTAAATAGGTATGCTGTAGAGAGCTGTTATAAAAAATGAAATTATATATAACTACAATCATCCCACTGACTAAACAAAATTATGTGGAAAGTATCCTTTGACTTAATTTTTGTCTTCTCCATACCACCAACCATTTGTAGTTCTCCTTAATAACTTAATTTAATCTCCTTTTTTAAAACTTAAATCTGTATCCTACCAAAATCATTTAAAATCTTTACTTTTTATGCTTTATAATCATATTTTGCTATAACATATTAATTATTAATTTATTATTAATTTTCTTTATTTCTTTTGGATTATTTGTCATGTTCTTTTTAATCCAAAAAAACATTATGAAGTGAGGAACAACGATCTTTATTTTAAGCAACCTCTTTCATTAGAGTATCAAGAATATTAATTTCATTTTCATTATTTTTGAATGATTAAAACTAATAAGAGTGATCAATTATATCTTGATTAACTCTTTTAGATATATTAAGTTATAAAGGTAATTAATTTCTATATTTTTCTTTACTTAGCACTCTTTATTTTTCCATTATTTCTAGGTCTGTAAAATAAGGACTACCCATTTAAGATTCTGTTAGAGGTTCACTAATATCAAAAAATTAATTGGATTATTCTTGTAATGAGACATTTCTAATTGGCTTTGTAGGTTCAAGAAGAGGAAGATTATGGTTTGATTTTTAATTTACATTTTTTTATGCATTCATGATTTTATTTCCAAAGGATATTTCAAAAGATTCATTAAGTCTTAAAGATTCAACTCTTGTAAAGAATCCATTCACATCAAATTCCTCTGGTAATACACAATTTCTTAATGCTGGTAAATTGAGATTTTATGTTTTAGATATGAATTCTAAAATAAATGCAGTTGAATTTTTTGACAGCTAAATAAGAGAATCATATGCTAACCCTAATGAGGGTTGAAAATGCTAAACAATTTTTTAAAAAAATGATAGGAACTCAATGCAAACTAAACAATTTTCACAAATAAACGATTTTAATCCATTATTTATTGCAATTTAATCTTATAACTACTTAGTTAAGGATTCAGTTTTTTTCTATTCCATTTAAAGATTAGATTTTAATGGTTTTAACAATTAAATTTGTTCATTTATATTAATTAGTTAATTTTAATACAGTTGACGTTCATTTTACAAATTTTAATTAAGTTCTTTATTTGTTGATTCTAATATTGTAAACTTTTTTTTCAATTCATTTAGAGTTAATTGCAATTTTGAAGATTAATCTTTTAAATCTTGATTTTCTGAACGAATTCTCTCATAATATACATCTTTATTCAATATATTCTCAATAATCATATTTGCCATAGCATTACTTGAATTAAGAAAATGTGCATCTTATTCTGTAATATGATTAAAATTTAATTTTCTGTTACTTTTTTATTATTGAGGAGTTGTATTAGGTGATACTGATTTAGTTTACTTTTCTTTAAGTTATGCATTTTCTAGGATATATATCAATTCTTATTTTTTATTATTCTATCTTTGTGGTTCTTTTTTGTTGAGAATTTAGATTTGTGTCTTAAGTTATTAAGAAGATTTTTAATTAATTGGCAATACACCATCGACACTCTAATTTAATTTCTGATGCTATGAGAATGCTCCAGGCTTTACTTGAATTTTATTATTAGGCAATAATTTCTATAGGGAATACATTTTAAATTTAATAATCGTTATATCATAATAATTTTTTCTTTGAATTTGTTTAAAGAATACAGCAAAATCATTCAGTCAATTAGAAAACAATAACAGTTCTATTTGATAAATAAATTAGTATATCATTAAATGTTCTTTGGCAAAATTCTTTAAATTATTGAATGGTTTATCATAGGAGGGACAAACTTTGAAATAGCCAAAAAACTAAAATTCATCAGTTAAAGTTTTTCATCATCATGAGCGGAATGGAGTGTTATTCTTGTTTTCTAAAAATTTAAATTAAATTGAAATTTCTTATTCTAAATGGAGCAACTACAAAAAGATTCTCTAATTTAAAGAATAGATTGGTATAATCTTTAGGTTTTATATCCTTAAAATTCTTCTTATAGTTTCTTTTAAAAATCTATAAACCAAATTTTTTATTTATTATTCTTATAATTTATCCTTTTTTTGTAGGATTACTAAAGCCTTGATTTTATCTTAACATTGAGTATTTTTTTCTTTATCAAAAACAGGTTAGTAATTAATTTTACTGTGAAATTCTTATATTTTTCCTCATAAGCCAATTTATAAGACTTATTTATTAAAAATATTCTTTCCTTATTCCAATAAGATTTAGATTATCTAATTAAGAGTGTTGGTTAATAACGAAGCATAAGAATTTTTTGCGTTTTCACGAACTACAAATGTCATTATGGTGTATAATAGTTTTGATCTGAAAAATAGTTTAAGATCTTCATCTTTTTTATGTATACAAAGGAAGAATAAAAATACATAAATTAAAAATTATCTGTAAATACTTCCTTTACTACATTTCTAATCGAAAACCTTAACTCATGAAATTAGTTCTCAATTAAAAATACAGAAACTAAAAATTGTGGAATCCTATTAATATATTCATCTCTTTGAGTTCCAATTTCTAAAAGTATCCTCAAATCATTACAATTCTCTGTAACTTTGAAAGAAATTCTTTTTACAATATTCCTTTCAAAATATCACTTAATTTAATATTATTTTTTATTTCATAAACTTTCTAAAAACCTTTCAGAGATGATTTAACTCTTTATTTTCTAAAACAAACTAGATATAAAACTATCTATTTTAAAATTTAAAATACTCTTTGAATACTTTAAGATTTTGATAATTTTTTAAGATTTATAATTCGTTTATTTCTTTTTCATATTGATAAAAAATTCTTTCTTTATTTTGGAAAGATTGATATACATAAACATTGTAAAAATATTTGATAAAGAGAGAGTTCATTTTTGCTTTTATTTAGTTTGAACTGATTTAATTGAAATTTCATTTCGTTGATCAATGTATTACATTTTTAATAAAACTTAAAGATTTAATATCCCCTTATAATTTAGGATGATGTGATGAAATTGAATTGCTGTTATGAATGATGTCAAAAGGTTAATGATTTCGAAAATAGTAAAACAATCGTATCCAAATATATTATAATTAATTTAAATGGCTGGAGAGAAAATTTCAGGATAGGGGAAACGCAAATGCTAATAGAAGTGTCCAGATCATTAATTTAATCTCCATCCAAAAAGTTAAAAGTGTTGGTTTAAGTAAATCACTAACATTGATTTCTGTCCTTTGTACAACGATGCTGTAACAGATATAAAATATAATTCAAAAGCTGGCCTGTTTTGAAAATATCGTTCCAGTCTTTAATTAAGATGAATAATAATGTTTGCCAGGTTTCATATTAGAAGTAGACAGAGTAAGAATAGTTTTAATGTTATTAAAATTAGAATGACTACTTAAGAAGCATGTAAAAATATAAAGATGATCATCAAAGAAAGATATAAGAATATACAATGAAGAAGACAAAATTGGTATAAGTTTAGAATTAAGTATAGTAAATTCCTAAACCTGGTCGTAAACATAGATATTGTGGTGTGTGTCGTAAACCTTATGTAGATTATTTGGAAGTATAATATATTTAAAAATATAGCATATAAAATCTTCAGATCATATCAATAGTTTTAATAAACATGATTTTGTACATGTGATTCTAAAAATAATTGATGAAGATTATAAACCAAGAGATGAAAATAAAATTTAAAATGATTCAAGTACATATCCATCAAAAGCTGTAATGCCTAAAAAGAGAGGTCCTAAACCAAAATTATAAGTTGAATAAAGTGAACCAAAAAAGAGAGGAAGAAAACCATTAGAATGTTAAATAGCAAAACGTGTAAAAACACAACCAATGATTCCAATAAGATAATAATAAACTATTCCTACTCCACCTCCACCTCCTTAACCATATTATCCATAATAATATTTCTATCCTTATCATCCATTAAATTAGATGATTCAATATGGTACATTACAAATACGGCCATAATTTCATGTTAGTTTTCCATTCCACATGCCAGTGGTTGATATGTAATTGGAAAGGAAATGCGAAGATATGAGTATCAATATTACATTACTTTAGTTGTAGATGCTAAAATAGATGATCGTTCTTAATTTGATTGAATATTATAATAATTATTATATTTAACACCTAAATAAAACCATCCCAAATTATTTCTTCACATTTTTGTGCAAAATCAACCTCTAATCATACAACTACATTAATGTTTCATAAAAACCACTATAATGGAGCCTATTCAAATCTCATGATCCTACATAAAAAATAGCTTAATTTGTCTACAGAAACATTCATCTGGATGAACTTTGTCAATATCTTAACAGGAATACTCTAAAATACAAACACTCATCTTATTTTTGAACCTAAAGCAATATTTCTTGCAGGTATATTTCTACTTTATATTTAATAAGGTAATGATGAAGATTAATTACGTGTTGCTTAATTCAAAATTGAATACATCGCCTATTAAGAATTTAAGATGATCTATATCATGAAAGATTAACGATCTCTCGTTTCATATAAACCATTCACTTCCATATTCTATTCCAAAAATTATAAAGAGCTTTATACTAAATATAGAGGAACTTGTTTATTTGTTAAAGATAAGTTGATTAAAGAATAAAAACAATTATAAGAATAGACTGGTTATATTAAAGATTTTGATTTAGAAAAGTATGAATCTTTTGTTATTGCTTGGATTCCGAAAAGAAAAGAATCTAAAATCACTTCATTGTTTTAAACATGGATTAATGAATACAATTAATCTATCAATTTTACACCTAAATATGAATTAAGACCTACCATCAATAGAGAATATTTTAATGATGCAGATCCTCTATAATAAATATCAATGACTTATATTGATTTTATACTTTTCTATTCTGAAAATGATGTAGAATAATTCCAATTATAAAATAAAGTCTTAATTAAATTAGTTGATGATGGATGGAAAATTTTATTTAAAATATATTCATCAAATCTTCTATATTGTTAATAAGCTGAATAAAATATTAATGATTTTTTAAATTAATAATCATTAGAAATATTTAATATGGAATTATTTCATTTATGTGATGATTTTGATAAATTTATTCTTGATTTGGAAGGAATATTGAAGAAAAAATGCAATTAACCTGTTAGATTATATAAACTCAATTCAATTCTATCTATTGTCAAAGAAATTGATAGAAGATTTGAAACCAAAGTTTAAAATTATATTTCTAATTTTGGATTTAAATAATGTTTATTTTTTTCTAAATAAAGAGATAATACTCTGGCTTTCAAAATTATTAAAGATATTATTGATTTAAGAATCAAATTTAATCAAATTATTAAAAAAAAATCATTGGAAATATCTTTATTATCATAATCATTTCAAAGTTGTAAATCTACATTATTATATTCCTAATGTGGTAAATCTACTATATTACCTTAATAACTCAAAGATAAAGAATNTTTAACACCTAAATAAAACCATCCCAAATTATTTCTTCACATTTTTGTGCAAAATCAACCTCTAATCATACAACTACATTAATGTTTCATAAAAACCACTATAATGGAGCCTATTCAAATCTCATGATCCTACATAAAAAATAGCTTAATTTGTCTACAGAAACATTCATCTGGATGAACTTTGTCAATATCTTAACAGGAATACTCTAAAATACAAACACTCATCTTATTTTTGAACCTAAAGCAATATTTCTTGCAGGTATATTTCTACTTTATATTTAATAAGGTAATGATGAAGATTAATTACGTGTTGCTTAATTCAAAATTGAATACATCGCCTATTAAGAATTTAAGATGATCTATATCATGAAAGATTAACGATCTCTCGTTTCATATAAACCATTCACTTCCATATTCTATTCCAAAAATTATAAAGAGCTTTATACTAAATATAGAGGAACTTGTTTATTTGTTAAAGATAAGTTGATTAAAGAATAAAAACAATTATAAGAATAGACTGGTTATATTAAAGATTTTGATTTAGAAAAGTATGAATCTTTTGTTATTGCTTGGATTCCGAAAAGAAAAGAATCTAAAATCACTTCATTGTTTTAAACATGGATTAATGAATACAATTAATCTATCAATTTTACACCTAAATATGAATTAAGACCTACCATCAATAGAGAATATTTTAATGATGCAGATCCTCTATAATAAATATCAATGACTTATATTGATTTTATACTTTTCTATTCTGAAAATGATGTAGAATAATTCCAATTATAAAATAAAGTCTTAATTAAATTAGTTGATGATGGATGGAAAATTTTATTTAAAATATATTCATCAAATCTTCTATATTGTTAATAAGCTGAATAAAATATTAATGATTTTTTAAATTAATAATCATTAGAAATATTTAATATGGAATTATTTCATTTATGTGATGATTTTGATAAATTTATTCTTGATTTGGAAGGAATATTGAAGAAAAAATGCAATTAACCTGTTAGATTATATAAACTCAATTCAATTCTATCTATTGTCAAAGAAATTGATAGAAGATTTGAAACCAAAGTTTAAAATTATATTTCTAATTTTGGATTTAAATAATGTTTATTTTTTTCTAAATAAAGAGATAATACTCTGGCTTTCAAAATTATTAAAGATATTATTGATTTAAGAATCAAATTTAATCAAATTATTAAAAAAAAATCATTGGAAATATCTTTATTATCATAATCATTTCAAAGTTGTAAATCTACATTATTATATTCCTAATGTGGTAAATCTACTATATTACCTTAATAACTCAAAGATAAAGAATCATTTGTTCCTCAATTATTTCCTTAGGAATGGAGAGGGTAATCAGCACTCCCTGAAATCAATTCTAAATATTAATAAAATTAAAGTAGTTTTTCAAGTGAGCAATAGTCTAAGTTATCCAAAGATAATAATTAATAATCTAATAAAATATAAATTCATGATTAATAACATAACTAATCTGGATACTCAAATGGAGGAACTTTTAACTCTATGGAATCTTTAAGTAAAGATTATAATAGTTTTGATAGTAGTGATAGCAGTGAAATTAATGAACTTAATGAATTTTGTCATGAAATCTAATTATCGTCAAATTTCAAGTAAGAAAAAAATAAAAAAATTATTGAAGAAGAAAAGATTTTATAATTGATTTAAATTCATCACATTTCTCAACAATTTGTTCGTTAAGTACTATTGGTAGGAATTGATAAAAAATCAATTTAATATAAACTTAAAGAATCTGCTGGATTGTATTTAAAAGATTGGGAATAAAGTTTAAGAAATTTCTTGAAAACATAAGAAATTAAAATGAATGATTTAGAATTGATTTTTCGTGATGATTGTATTGCAATTAATACTAAATTGAATTATCAATAAGTATCTTCTATTTGTGATTAATTTTTTGCAGGTACAACATGTATAGTTGTGTAATCAAATAAAAATTCAATAGATTTTAGAAATTAATTAAAAGAAACTTATGGAATAGAATCAAAATAAACAAAGATTTAATAGATTGGATTAATTAGTAAACAATAATTTGAATAATTGTAAGTAGATGAAAAGGGTCGTTATATAGCTATGGAGTTATATAATTATTTATATTTTGAGACAAATATTTAATAGAGGATAAATAAATTGTTGAGCTAGATTTAATAAGAGTAGGATGAATCAATTCTTATATCAGAAGTTGGTCTTGGAAATAAAATAATAATTGTCTTGTCTTAATAGTAATTGAATTATTTAATAGAAAATTATTAAGAGTTAGAATGCAACAAGTTGATTAAATTTGGAAAATACCTCTCAAACACATTTTATTATGTAGAAATAGAAAATATTGGTGAGTTATATGAAGATGCATAGGATATGTTAAGACGTATAGGTTATGAGTTGGTGGATACTTATTGCAATAGGAAAAAGTAGAAATATAAGAATTAGCAAATAATCTAATTAAAATAAAATAGTTGGAAGTTATGCATATATTCTAATATAAAGAAGTTTTACACAAAGTTATTAAATGATCTATTAGAAATGAAATTCAATGAGAAGGAATATCTCTAAATATTTTAGGGAGGTGTTAAGTTATCTGAGCTTTAGATAGATTTAGGGAAATTTTAAATAAAACATGAAAAGGACATAAATAAATTGGATTAGATGATTTTGGATGATTCAAATTGTAATGATTATAATTTAATCAATAAAGATAAATGTGTGTCTTAGAAGATAGACCAGTTTACACCAGGAAATTATTTGACTATAGTAGTAAGATCTGAACAATTACCAATAGAAAATGTTACTTAACTTTATCCTGAAACTAGTCTCATCAGGTATTTTTATGTATTATTATAATTTAAGAGGTTATTTTGAAATACAAAGAAATTATTCTAAGCAACAACAATAAAACTTCTGAAATAATATAAATACATATAATTTAATTGTTATAATTATGTAATTTGAAATTAAAAAATGATTGAATTGAACTAATAGTAATAGGATACTTAATTATTATAGAAAGATTAAGATTCTTTTTAGTTCTATTTAGAAAGCTACAACAATAAATGCAGTTAGTATAATATAATTTATAAAAATAATTAATATGTCAGAACAATAAAACTTAAAGGAAGAGACAAATAGGAACTTTGCATTAGCTACTGCAAAAGTTGTTCCTAGAGGATCAAAGGAGATATCTAATATAATAGGAGATCGTAGATCTTCATATAATATTGAAGGTTATGATCATGTTATTGCNACTTATGGAATAGAATCAAAATAAACAAAGATTTAATAGATTGGATTAATTAGTAAACAATAATTTGAATAATTGTAAGTAGATGAAAAGGGTCGTTATATAGCTATGGAGTTATATAATTATTTATATTTTGAGACAAATATTTAATAGAGGATAAATAAATTGTTGAGCTAGATTTAATAAGAGTAGGATGAATCAATTCTTATATCAGAAGTTGGTCTTGGAAATAAAATAATAATTGTCTTGTCTTAATAGTAATTGAATTATTTAATAGAAAATTATTAAGAGTTAGAATGCAACAAGTTGATTAAATTTGGAAAATACCTCTCAAACACATTTTATTATGTAGAAATAGAAAATATTGGTGAGTTATATGAAGATGCATAGGATATGTTAAGACGTATAGGTTATGAGTTGGTGGATACTTATTGCAATAGGAAAAAGTAGAAATATAAGAATTAGCAAATAATCTAATTAAAATAAAATAGTTGGAAGTTATGCATATATTCTAATATAAAGAAGTTTTACACAAAGTTATTAAATGATCTATTAGAAATGAAATTCAATGAGAAGGAATATCTCTAAATATTTTAGGGAGGTGTTAAGTTATCTGAGCTTTAGATAGATTTAGGGAAATTTTAAATAAAACATGAAAAGGACATAAATAAATTGGATTAGATGATTTTGGATGATTCAAATTGTAATGATTATAATTTAATCAATAAAGATAAATGTGTGTCTTAGAAGATAGACCAGTTTACACCAGGAAATTATTTGACTATAGTAGTAAGATCTGAACAATTACCAATAGAAAATGTTACTTAACTTTATCCTGAAACTAGTCTCATCAGGTATTTTTATGTATTATTATAATTTAAGAGGTTATTTTGAAATACAAAGAAATTATTCTAAGCAACAACAATAAAACTTCTGAAATAATATAAATACATATAATTTAATTGTTATAATTATGTAATTTGAAATTAAAAAATGATTGAATTGAACTAATAGTAATAGGATACTTAATTATTATAGAAAGATTAAGATTCTTTTTAGTTCTATTTAGAAAGCTACAACAATAAATGCAGTTAGTATAATATAATTTATAAAAATAATTAATATGTCAGAACAATAAAACTTAAAGGAAGAGACAAATAGGAACTTTGCATTAGCTACTGCAAAAGTTGTTCCTAGAGGATCAAAGGAGATATCTAATATAATAGGAGATCGTAGATCTTCATATAATATTGAAGGTTATGATCATGTTATTGCAGATGAGTAATAGTCAATCTAAAAATAGAAATACTGACAAGCATAATTAAGGAATTCCATTGATAGATAAAGCAGTAATTGCATTAGTTGTGTTATTCACTCTATTGGTGTTTATCAATTTTTCATTCACATGTAAATAAATTGATTAAATAAATAGCTAATGATGCTAAAGAGGATTCGAATATAGAATAAACATTATTTATTACTAAGATTGTAGAACTAGTTATACTTATTCTATTTGTCTTAGAAATATCAGTTAGATGTTATACAAATGGGTTAATTGTAAATTATTTTATGTAATCTTAGGTTTATTTTTCAGATTGCTGGTCATTTTTTGATGCTTTAATAATAATAGCATCTATAGTATTAATTATTTTGGATTTAAATCTATAAGGAGATGCATTCACAACTATAAGTAAAGTATTGAGAGGTATATTCAGATTTTTAAGATTGTTTTTAGTGTTTCGTAAAGTAAATATTTTTACTAATTAAAAATAGTACAATCAAGTTAAAAAAATTAATAATGCAGGATTAAGATATTCTGTAAGATCCCCTGTTGAAAAAGTGATTGAGATTATGCGTGATTTAGCTGATTAATTTGAAGATCCAGATATAATAAAATAATTAAATTGGGGAATTACTCATATTTCAAATAATACAGTTTATGAACCAATAATTGAAGGTCGTAAAAGTGAAGCTTTAGGTTGGTTAAATTAACATTAAAATTAATAAATAATTTCATAGGATTCTAAGCGTTCTGTATCAATTGATATAGTATTTTCAAATGAAACAAATTTACCTGAATCCTTAAGACAAGATTTTTAGGATAATATCCTAAATTTAGATTATGATTACTTCTCTTTATTTAAAAAATATGATAGTGCAATCTTAACTCATTTAATGTGTTATTATTTTGAAAAAGAATAGTTATTTAGTAATTTAAAGATATATCCTGATCATTTTAAAAAATGTATAGATTTATTAGGGTCTAATTATCATAAAGAGAATCTATATCATAATGTAATCCATGCTTTTGATGTCACTCATACAGTATATTTTTTTATAGAGAAATGTAACTTTAAAGAGATTGGAAAATTAAGTAAATTAGATTATTCAATTTTATTGTTATCTGCAGCTGCTCATGATGTAGATCATCCAGGATTAAATAATATATTTTTAAATAATACTAGACATGAATTAGCTATGACATATAATGATAAATCATCATTAGAATAGCATCATGTTGCAACTCTATTTAAATATTTAAGAGATACTGAATTACTTAAGAACTTTTCATTATAAGATTTTAAATATTTTAGAGAGAAATCCATAAGTATGATTTTAAGTACTGATAATGCAATGCATGGAAAAGGTATTTTTGAGAAGGATTAAATTATTAGATTTCAATAAATTAAAGGCAAGATTGGCATCTAATGATTTTGATCCTGGAAATAAAGACAAAGGTATTTGCTTTGATACTTTGCTTCATGCTGCAGATATCAGCAATCCTTTTAAACCAATTAAAAATTATGAATAATGGACTTTTAGAGTCTTAGGAGAATTCTGGCTATAAGGAGATAAAGAAAAAGAATTAGGACTTCCAATTACTATGTTATGTGATAGAAGAACAACCAATGTTGCTAAAAGTTAGATTGGATTTATAGATTTCATGGTAATTCTAAATTTTATATCTTTTTAGGTATTACCTTACTATAATACATTATAATAAATTATTCCTTAGTTAGCTGAATTTATGGAATAGATTACAGATAATAAAAGATATTGGGCTGAATAAATTGAATAATATTAAACATTACTTAACACCTAATGATTATGATTATCATAAATTTATTTATTCTGTTTTATTAATTATTAATTAATGTCTGGCAGTGATTCAGAACTTTAAATCATACCTTTTGAAGTTGCAAAATAAGCAGAAGCATAAAGAAAAAAATAAGTAGCTGATTACAAAATATAAACTCACTTAAAAAAACAATTATAGAAAGAATAAATCAAAGAAAAAATCAAAAAAGATAAAGAAATACAATTAAAGGCTAAACAAAAAAATTTATTTGAAGATGAACCTCCTGAATAAAGTAGTAGTACACAATCACATTTTACTAATAATAAAATTGATGAATCCTTTCAAAGAAATTTAAATGAAAAATTGTCTGAAAAAGTTATTAAATCTATTAAAATGCCTTAAATTTAATAAGCAACTACTATACCTATGCAAATCAAATCAAAAAAAAGTATTATTTATTTCATTATCATAGTTATTAAGAAATTTAATGAAAAAGTTACTATTGAAACTTTAGGTAAAGAAGTCAATCACAAACAAAATTCTTAATAATCACTCAATTTTTTAAAATAGCATTTATTTGACAAATAATAAAGAGTTCCTATCTAAAAAATCATTTCCAAAAAAAAATGAATTATCTTTTATTATGTTTATTCTTTATATTGATATTTTGTGATTTATTTCATTTATTACGACAAAATGAAGGAGATAAAATTAAAAGTAATGGAAGTATAATTCATTTATATCTATACTTCCCTTTCCAAAATAAAAAAGTAGGATAAAAGTTTCTATCACATAGGAAAAAAAGAGAGATATATGAAAAAATTAAGAAAAAATAAAAGGAACAAGCTAAAATGTTAGCTGAATAGGAATAATTTAAAAGGTAAGAGTAATTAAAGAAGAAAAGGAAGAAAGATAAAAAAGTAGAATAATAAAAAGAAAATTAAGTATAGAATAAAATTAATTAAAAATGAAAAATTAATAACTGATGTAAATAAATTGATAAAGAGCAAGAATAAAATTTGTTAATATAGAAAAAAGTACAATAAGTGGATGAAAATAACTAAGAATAAAATTAGATGGGTGACTTTAAATAATTAACGAATCATAAAATTATTTATTACTGCTTCTATAAGATTCTGTTTTTCTCACTATTTTATTTGTTCTTATAATCGCATAAGCTAATCATATATCTAAATTTACAAATAATATTTAATTTACAAAACCAATAGAAATAATTTAATAAATATACGACTTTATTTTGACGTTGCTCTATAAATTCTCACAACTGAAATTATGATTCGAATATTTAAATGATATAAATGATGTTTTTATTTATGATGTAATATATCAATATTCTTTCCATTAATTCAAGATACTTGGATTAAAACATCCTTTATAAAGTTTATTTATATATTTTATGGGAGGTAATACATCTTATAATCTCTCTGATTTAAATATTTGATGAAGAAAATCAAAACTACAAATATACTATTAAGCAACATCATTAATGATTGGATCTTTAAGCATCTCTTATAATGTTATCAAAGAAGATGGCTTTTTTTCGAATTTATTGATTTTTTTCTTAATTTTGATATTTTGTGATGGATTTTCTTAGTATTTTATCTCCAATCTATTCAAGAAGGAATTTATAAAGAATTTGGGTAAATTTTTGGTTTCAATTTTTTATTCTGATTTTTTGTTCCCACCTTTTTTAACAATTGGTTCATTTTTAGAAATTTTTTTTTATGTTTTCAAATACGGTTTTCTTTTAATATTATTAAGTTTAGTTTCAGTCTCTCCATTTTACTAACCTTGATCTTATTTATGCTAATCAAGTTAAGAAGAAGAGGTCCTTAATTGATTATTTGAGTTATCAGTTTAAAATATATGTTAAAGATGTTCTTCTTTCTCTTAATTTAATAAGTTCTGATCCTAATTATTATAAATATGGACCTTTTACTTCATTATAATAGGAATGGAAGGCTAAAAAATTTGAAGCTGATTAATTATCATTTTGGTCAAGATATTTCTCTGAGCTATCCTCATTAATAAATCTCATATAGTTAAACATTGTAAATTTTTCAAACTTCTAAATATTTAGATATAATATTTATAAAATCCTTGATTAATAAAATGTTGATAATAAATTATTTTATTTTTTTATATCTAAAAGGTTTGTTCATGACATATTTATTTGATACTAGTTTATGAACTTATTATGTTAATGTAAAAAACTTTAAATAATTGACAAAATACGAAATAAATTTATTCTATTTTGTTTCTAATAATCAATTAATTATAATTCTTAATTTCTAAAAAATAATTTTAAAAGTTCATTTATTTTAAATAAGTAAAATCAAATGAAACATTTATAAGTTTTGGTTCTTGATTTATAAGAATAATTTTAAATACGCAACAATTTTTTTCTTTTTGTCAAAACATAATAATATTATTTAAGATTGAAAAATTTTTTGATTTTGGTAGAGATGATAGTGATAATTAAAAATTAAAAATTAAATGTTTAAATACTCAATTTGATAGATAATAACATAATTCTTAAATATCGACTAAGCAATTTGCATCAATTTGTAATTCCAAAATGTCAGAAATCAGTTGAAAACTTCCAAAATATTCAAGAGTCAACTGTTTAGCTTCAAAATCATTTTTAAGGTTGCGTAATTAATGATGGTTTTTTTTTTTAAGCAAAATCCTAATGTTTAAATTTTACATGAAAATATCCTTATGATGTGTCTCTAAATAAATAGAAATAAGAATTACTTAAATGTTTAAGCAAGAGAAATGAAATCAAACGATATCTATCCTTTTTGAAAATTGAATTTGATGAATTAAAAGTTGTTAGCATGATATATTTATGATTTTTTGATTATTGGAATTTGAAAAATAGATGGTATTATTCTATTTATGATTATAATTAATAATCATAATATATGGATCAGAAATTTATTTAAGCTAAAAGTCTACAAGAAAAGAGAGAAATAATACATTTTTTAGATAAAAGACTTTCTCCATCTGAACTTGAAAACCTATATAAGAGTATTCATGTAGAGAAACCTGCTCATAATGCTTATGAAATATTAGATATAGCATTAGATAAAAATTTTGGCGGTCTTCTTCCAGATAAGGCATCTTATAGTATGGATTATAATGAGGGTGTTTTTAAAAGAATAATAGAGTCTTTAGAAGATTTAGAAATGGTTGGATTATATGCAAAATATGTTGTATAAAATTGTCGTGTTGATTCACATAAATTATTACTTAAGTAATTAGGATATGTGACAGAGAGATTAATAAGAAAGTTTCGATAATAAGGAACAATTGAAGAGCATTTATGTTTAAATAAATAAAGAGTAATTGAATTAGTAAGTATATTGTGTCCTAAAGATATGACATATAATCCAGAATTACTATAATTAATATTAAAAGCTTTTAGAGATTATTAGGATGAAGAATTATTGAAAAAATTAGCTGATTCTCTGATTTAATAATGTAAGGATAGTATGAATTAGAATAGAGAACATGATTGGTTAATGCTTATTGCAACTATATTTGATTAAGCTATTGAATAAAAAGGAATATGTTTGCATATTTTATACAAAAAAATTGGAAACACAACATTAGGTCACGCAATTAATAAAAACAAAAATTATTTTTTAATTAATTATTTTGATAACCCAGATAAACCTGTCAAAATATTTAAAGGTCTATTAAAATATAGCATATAAAATGAGAACTTAGCAATTTTATAAGAAATTACAGATATATTAGAGGAATAAATGCGTTAAAATTATAATTAAAGTTCATATTTAATCTTAAGTGAAATTTATGTGTAAGTCATCTTACCATAATTATTATCTTAATTACATTTAAATACTAATATTCTAGATTTATTACAGGTATTTTTAATAGGTATGTCTAAAAGACAAGAATTATTTAAAGATCAACATATTAAAATAATGTGTGATAGATTAAAATTATTGATTGACTTAAAATGGAATGATCGATTAATTTTTGATAAATTATATGCATTTATGAGTGCTATTTATAAAAAATATTAGAATAGATTACACAATCATGAATAATTTCCAAAATTATTAAATCTGACAAGAGAAAGATGTTATGATTAATACAATTAAATAGATCATATATAATGGGATTGTCAAATTTTAAAATATAGAAATTTTGAAGATAATTTATATGATAGATCTAATTATGACAATTTTGTTGGATTAGAAAATCTTACTAATACTTGTTTTATGAATAGTATTTTGCAAACACTTTATATGACAGATAGTTTTAGGAAATTCATTTTGATGAATTCAATTCCAGATGCTAAATAATATAATGCATTAAGAAAATTGTTTATGTTATTAAATTATTAAGAGTCTGGTTTTTGTTCACCTTATGAATTAAAGAGATTACTTAGACCTCCATATAGTAATACAAATGATTAATAAGATGTTGGAGAATTTGTCCATCATTTTTTAGAAGATCTACTTAAATATATACCAAAGGAATATTAAGAAATATTAGAAAACATTTTCTTTGGTTCTCATAGATCAGTTATAGAATGTCCTAATTGTGATGTTTCATTAGGTTAAATTGAAAAGTTTTTAGGAATTGATTTGCATTTAAATAAACATACTGAATTAAAAGATATGATTGCATAAGTATATGAGGTTGAATAAATAGAATTTACTTGTGAAAAATGTAATCGTAGATCTAATGATATTAAAAAGTCTTTGTAAATATTAAACTTACCTCCTGTTTTGTTTATGACTATATAAAGGTATATTTTTATATTTAAACAGATTTTAATATGATGCTCAAACTTAATAAATGACAAAGATACTTTAAAAAGTTCCTCTAAAATTTGAAATAGATATGAGATAAGTATTTCAATAATCATATCTTGATACTCATGATAGTACATATATCTTATATGCATTTATTGTGCATTTGGGAAAAAACAGTTATTCAGGACATTATTCTTGTTATGCTAGATCAATGTCTAAACCTGAAACTTGGATTTGTTTTGATGATGATTAAATTAATAAATATGAATTAACCAATTAAGATTTAAATTCTTAATTAATGTAAGAATATTAATAATATCATATCCTAGTGATGAAGAAACTCCATATTTACTTTTCTACAAAAATAAATCTGGCCATAGTCTAAGTATTAATAAATGAAATAATATTTATATATCTAATTATATAATAACAAACAAATCATACCTTGATTCTCATTTCAAGTTATTGATTTTAAATTGATATTATATTTTTATAACATTTTCTTCTTATATGATTTCTAAGTTATTGTATCAAGTCTAATATTGAAATGACTAGCTCTATCAATTACAAGAAAATCATTTTATTACTCATTTTCCTATCTTATACAACATCATCATATTTATTTTGTTTTACCTCAAGAAACTCATTTTACAAATCATTACTCTTTTGCATTTTTTTCAATTTAGAAATATTTAAATTTTCTAAATTAATATCTCAAATTCTGTAATCTATAAGATACTATAGTTCATAACAATTGAAAATTATATCATTAAATTAATTACTTTTTTATTTTTGTAAAATTATTTATAACATTCAACTCTGCTTTCTTTAATATATTTCAATTAACCCTTTCTTTTCAAATAAAAATAAATTTTATTCAAAATTATTTTCCATGAATCCTTAAAAATGTTAGAGTTGCCTTATGAATTAAAAATTGTGTAGACATTTTTCTGTCTAATCTTTTTTACTATATCAATCAATCAATTTAATTTAGATTTTCTTTTCATCTTGATAAGACTATAAAACTTTAGGTAATTGGAAATTTTGAATTTCACAAGAATAAATATTTATTACAGCTGCTTAATAATTAGAATATTTTTCAATGCAGAATAAAAATTATATATTATCGTAAAGATTCATATTCAAAAATAGCATTCTATTTTAAACTTTCTCAAGAATTAATTTTTCTTAATCAAATAAACTAGCCATATTTATAATATCTATTAGAGATTCATTTTTAAAATCATCAAGCTTAAGTATAAATTTTTCGTATTCTAAAGTTTATTTTTAAAATTGCTATCTGATTTTCTATATTAATTTGAGATGAAATATAGAGAATATAATTAAATCCCGATGATTTTATCTTTAAAATCTTTGTCCTCCATCAAAAAATATTCATCAAATTATTCTTTTAATGCAAGGATTATTTTATATTAATTATTTAATTAATGCATTGGATTTCTTAAGTACTTCATCATTAAATACAATAATTAAGATATACTAAATATTTAAATATTTTAAGATCTCTAGCAATAGCATCAATACATTCTTTATTATTGAATCAAAGTTATATAAGACCAATTAAGACTTTGCCTTATAACCCTGATTTAGTTTATTAAAATCTAACATAATTCTTTGTAATATAAATTCATTTTCCAAAAATAATACACTAAATTATACAAGCTATTTTTAAAAACCACCATAAAGACTCTATAATATGAAATGAATATCAAAAATGGTTGAATCCCAAATTCTTCATCATTACATTATACTTTTTAATAGCAAGAAAGGATTTAAATGTTGGAATATTGGTAGGGATATTTAATGGAATTCATTAACGACATCATCATAGCATAAAAACCATCGAAAAGAATCTATTAGATTTTAGGCTAAGGTAAGCTGGTTAAATTAAATAATTGGTGTTTGAGATCAACATTCTTAAATCTAAGCTTTGAATTGGGATAGAATGCAAATTGAAATCTACATATAAGTGAGCGCATATTAAATTTAATAATCATTATTATTTAACAACTTTTCTTAATGCATAACAAATTTTATGTTCTAGAGTTGTTTCAATATCTACATCAACTTCGAACGTCTTTCCTTAGAGTGGAAATTTGATTCTATATTTAACTGTTAATAATCTAAACAAGAATAAATAATCTCTATTTTTATCATACGCCTCTGCTTCTTTCTTTTATACTGTAAAAGCTAAAGTTCCTTCTAACCATTTATTTATATTATTTCTGAAATCCATATCATGTTTCAGTAATTTACCCATAGCTAATTCAACTTTTTAAAGTAATCCACTTTAAACTTTTGCATCTATAAGGATTGGAACAGAATGACGTAAAGCTTTTCTTAGTTTGGCATAAGTTTCTAAAGCCAACCATAATCCTTTACTTGATTTTTGTTGCATTTCTTTAAGAGATTCAAAGAAAAGAACAAAAGAATTTAGTTTTTTATTATTTGCTTTGTTAACACTTTTAACAAAAACATCAAAAACTACATTAGAAATTGCATCCCTAGCAAAAGTAATGGCAGCTACAAAAGAATCAATAAAATATGTAGTAACTCTCATATCAGATCCTCCACCTATAGCTACACTTTTACCAAGATTTGAATTTTCTTCAACCATTGTTTTATTCTATTTATTTCTTGCTTTTAATTCCATTTTGGATTTCCAAAGATTAATACAAAGTTATTTTAACGATTTAGCATGGTTTCTTTCAAATAAATCTAAACAAGCATCTATTTTAATATGAAATTTTTCAGCCCAAGCTGGTGGCATTCTAGGTTCCATACCACTAGATTAAACTGTTATTTATTATGGTAAAGCTGGTTTCTATAAATATTAAATATAAATTACTGCATCTTCCCTAACTTTTGTTATTTCTTCCTATTTAAATCTATTATCTCTTGCCAACATACTTAATTCTTATGCATAACTTCTATTAAGATCTAATATTCTTCTAACCTCATGTTCTAGTATTCTAATTTTATCGAAAGCATCTACTAATTCATTATCTTTAAGATAAAGTGCTTCAGCAAACTATTTATCAAGTGCTTCTAATTTTAGTACTTTTTCTCTTAATTCAGCTTCTAATCTAGCAGTTTAATGATCTAATGTAAATCTCAAAGATGCTATCTCTTCATCAGCTTTTCTTTTTAATTCTGTTAATTCATTAATTCTTTTCCGCTAATCTTAAATTTCAGCATTCTTATCATTAAGTTATTGAGTCAAACTTTGAACATCAAAATTATATTATTTATCACCTAATTCTAATTTATTTAACAATAGATCTCTGTCTAAAATTAAATTTTAAACATCATTTTTTATTTCAAATTATTTTTCATATGCTTTTTCAACATTAAGATTGGAATCCTGTGTTTTTTTTTTAATTGTTTCAAATTAAGCAGTTTATTATTGATAAATGGTATATAATTTCTTTAATTGATCTTTATATAGAGATAGTTCATATGCAGCTTTTTGATAATCAGATTCAAATCCTTACTTAGCATGTTCAGTAACATCTAAATCATGTTGTAATTGCTATCATTTTAAATGGTAGTTACTTGAATATAATCATTCATTTTTTAAATTTAATAATTGTATTGTTCTTCTCTTTCTTCAAATTCTCGATATCTATCATCATAATATTCTGGCTAATTGAGTTCTTAAGTTGTTTATTGGTATTGTTAAGGGATGGGATATTGTGGTTGTTATTATTTTTTGGTTACATATGGAGAATTGTCATAACGTTAAACACCTGTAGGGGACGTAGACATTTTAAATTGTGTCTGTTATTTAAATAAAATTCTAGAATAAATTAAAATTAATGAAATTCGTGTTGCTGGCAATTTTGATATTGTTTGTATTAGCAGGAGAAGATTATTATCAATTATTAGGATTAAAGAAAGGAGCAAGTGATGCAGAAATAAAGAAGGCTTTTAAGAAATAATCTCTTAAATATCATCCAGATAAAAATAAGGGAAATGAAGAAAAAGTAATTAATTATTCTTATTATTGAATAGGCTTAAAAATAATTCTAAAAAATAGTAAATGCTTATGAAACACTTAAAGATCCAGAGAAAAGATAGATTTATGATTAATATGGTGAAGAAGGTGTAAATAAACATGAATAATAATAATAATAAGGTGGTGGAGGAGGATTTCATAATTTTGGAGGTGGTTTTGAAGAAATGTTTTCATAATTCTTTAGAGGAGGTAGTGGTGGTGGTGGTCGTTAATAATTCCATTTTAATTTTGGAGGTTCAGGATTTGGTAATTAAGGTGGTGGATTTGGTAATTAAGATTATTAAGAAGAAGGAGGATAGGCTAAAAAAGATAATATTTTTGAAAATACAGATGTTTATACTCTTGATATGAGTAATCTATCTCGATTTTATAGAAGAGAAGAAGTTTGGTTAATTTATTTTTATTTACCGAATGGAGAAGGTTAAAAACATAAAAAACTTATTATTGAATTAGCTGAAAAATATGCAGGGATTTTTAGAGTTGCAGCTATTGATTGTGAAGATGATGAAGCATTATGTGAAGATGAATTCTAAGTTAAAAGATATCCTACTGTTTCTATTTATGCATCTCGTCTTTCTGCTTAACCTATCAAATATAAAGGAAAATGGGAAGTCAATGAAATGGCTAAAGAAGCTGTTGATCTTATGGAAGATTTTGTTATTATCTTAAGTGGATTTAATTTCTAAGAATATATTGAAAAATCTAAACCTAAAGTTATTTTATTTACTAATAAAAAATCAACTCCTCCTTTATTCAAAGCTCTTTCTAAAGAATTTAAAGGTAAATTAGAATTTGCTATGATTCGATAATCAGAAAGACAATTAGCTTCCATTTTCAAAATCACAGAATTCCCAAGTTTAATTGTTGCTAAAAATGATTAAGATTTTAAAGTTTTTGAATCTGAATTCTAAAAAGATTAAATTGTTAAGTTTCTTAGGCAATTTGCATATGGACAAAAAAAGGAACCATAATAAAAAACAATACAATAATTAAATGGATAAAACTATGAATAATGTATTACCAAAGGAAAAGATTTGTGTTTCCTATTATTAATTAATAATGAATTAGAATTAGAATTAATATCTAAAATACCAAGTAAATATTAAAATGATAATATTTCATTCTATTATGCTAACCTGAAGTATTTTATAATATCATATTAGGTAATTTACATCAAAATTTGAAGCTAATATTAATTAATCATATGCTGTAATTATAAAACCCAAGAGATAAACATATGCTGTATAAACTTCAATTGAAACTCATGAGATTATAACATTCATTGATGATGTACTTGGAGGTGGAAGAACATTCAAAAAAATGCATTCTACTTTTACAAAGGAAGAGTTGTGAATTGTTTTTTATTAAATTAATTTGCTTTATTCGTTAATTTTAACAACTATTTTAATGGATAATATAGTACAACATGTGGATGATGAATATAATGAAGCCAAATAAGATTCTTATTAACAACCTGAGAAGTTATCAGACAATTTAGGAAGAACTGTTTTCTTTGACTCGAACAATCTTCCATAAGTAGAGTGCTATTACCATAAAGGATATTATATATCTAATATGTGTAGAGCACCTTAATGTATAATACCTTTATGTCCCCTTTGCATTCATCTTCATTCTAAAGAGCATGTCAATGAGGGTACCTATCCAGTATTTGAATCATTGGAGGTCTTACTTAATCAAGCAAGTGATCATGTTAATAATGAATGTAATCATATCTTTTATATCATTTATAGTGAAGAAATTCACTAATTCTTATTATGATATCAAAAAGCATGTGAATACTTTTGAGGTTCATGCTGATAAAACAATAAAAAAAATAAGAGAAATAAAAAAGCGTATTTAAGATGTTGTAGAGCAATTTTTCAATGGTTTAGAGAATGAAGTTTCACATAAATAGAAAAAGAATGTAAATAATTAAGAAAGAGATGCTAAACATTTATTATAAATGATAGAAGATCGATGGAGATCAATGAAATAGATGTTAACTACATTTTAAAGTTCAGATTGTTTAACAGCACTTATTCCTTATTTTACAACAACATTTTAAGAAGATAATCATGTTTATTATAAAAAAATAGGAGAATATATAAATGCATTTCCAACAGTTAGTAGTGAAGTTCATATCGATTAACATAGAGCGTATAATAATTGTATAATAAAAGTTCTGAGTTGAGTGTATTTTTAAGTTCAATAATAAGAGTTCAACACACTTCAATTCCTGATTTTATAGGTATTCATTAATTACCAACAACAAATGTTACTGAAAGCACAAAAATAAGTTCTTTTTAAAGTAGTTCTCTTTAAGGTAGCAGAATCAAAGAACCATTGCGTGTAACTATTCCTGAGAAGTAAACTTAATTTGAAACTTTTGATCAACGAAGATCACCAATTTAAGATGTTAGAGCCTAAAGAAGTCCACCTCCTAATTCTTAATCTATGTTTCCATATCCAATTCATGCTTCTATGCATTAATATCCTTCTTAACATCATTTACCACCTTAACATTATTTACCACCTTAACATCATAGATTTTGATTAGATATTATAATGTATAATATTTTATAAAGATTATTTTTACCATGATTTTAAAAACTTAAAAATTACTATCGTGAATATATGAAATTGTAATAAAAATATATGTTTGAAGAAACTGAAAGATAACTATTAAAATTTCTTAGAAGTTTAGCTAAAGATTCAACTGAAGAAATAATAATAGAAGATGCTGAAATGGATTGTATTCCAGATTCTGTAAAAAGTGAATTAGAAAAGTTTAGTCTTCTGTCACTTTAATTAAATAAATGTAAAATGAAAAGTTTATCTAATTTACCTGATTCTAAATCAATAATAAGAGTTTGTTTAGATCATAATTAACTAAGTGGAAAAGAATTATCTAAATTAAGCATTTATCCAAATCTGATTGCATTGTCAATTATGGATAATTAATTTGATTCTATTGATGATATTAAATAACTAGCATTACTAAATCATCTTTCCCAATTAAATGTTTACAAAAATCCAGTTGCTGATTAACCTAAGTTTAGATAGGAAACATTTGAAGTTTTAAGTAAATTAGTGTTGTTAGATAATCTTTCAAAGACTGGAGATGAAATTCAGTTAAATGAGGAAGTGAAAATCACTAAAAATTTGGAAACTATTGATTCTTAAGACTAAAGAAAGATTATTGGATGAATCAAATTTTATATTATTTTAATAATTATATAAATATATAAATATTTAGATGCAAGAAACGTAATTATACAGAAAATCTGCAAATCATTTTAATGTTAGTAATTCTCTTTAATTACTATATTGTTTTACTAAAATTATTGTTGGAATATACTTAACTGTGATATCATTATAATGTAATAGCAACTCATTTTCTGAATACTACTATGGAAATCCATTACATAAATGGATTATATGGATAGTGCTTCATTCCCTTTTTAATACATTGTTGTATTTTAATTAGATAGTTTATTTGAATGTAGAAGAAAATCGAAGAAACTTAGCATTAAAATTAGATTAAATAAGAGTTTAGGAAGAATAATTTTAAGCTCATTTTATAGAGGATTCTAAACAAATTAGTATTTTAACAAGATAAATCAAATATGAAGTTTAAAAATCAGTTTGTTGTGGCAAATTTTATAGTCGATTATTAGGTGTGATATATTAATTACTCTTTATAAGTGGATTAGTATTATTTTTATCTTAGGAAACAACTAGAGTAGGATGTGAATATTATCAATACTATTTTTTGTGCACAATCCTTATACTCTCCATATACTAATACATAGATTTATATATTATTGCATTATTTTGCATAATATTTTCTCCATTTTTAGTTTTGTTTCTGATATATTATTGTGTTTCATTGTAAGTTGTAAAAAATAGATTTTTAGATGCACTAAATAACAACAAAGAAGAGAGGCAATGGAAAGATTAAATATTTAAAGATATAAACCAAATTGTGTAGAAGGTGATCCAGAATGTACAATATGTAGATGTGCATATGAATTAGGAGAAAATATACTTACATTAACTTGTAGTAAGTTTCATCATTTTCATGAATCATGCATAATGGTAAATTGTTACGATATAAATATATTAGAGTTGGATGAATGTAAATTCAACATGTCCATTATGTAGAAAAGCCATTTGAAAACATTATATATATATATTTAGAATATTGAATAGATATTCATATAAAGCTAAAAACACTGAAAGGTGGATATTAGAGTTGATTATTCTAAGTCTTTTGAATTTCCTTAATAGGTAATTTAGCATATTTAAACTCCATATTTTTGGGTTCATAAGTGATGAATTTAAACATGGCATAACTAAAAACGACTAATATAATCATAGGCATAAATCCAGCCATAAATATAACAGCTGGTATTGATCCAAAAATAGGATAATGACTTGCCAATTTATTTTCTGTAATTGGTTAGAATAGTTTTATAAGTCCATCTCTTAATAAACAAACCCAAATATATAATCTTGGTTCTTTTTAATCATATACAGATGTATCATCTTATGCTTTTTCAAGTAAACTCAATGCTCCTTATAATGTATGTCTCTCCATTTGAGCATTAATGCACAAACAAAAAAATAGAATTGCTATTATAACTTATTTCATTAATTAACAATCATAAAATCACACTAATCAAACATCCACATACTAAAATACTTCCAATAATACTTAAACTATTAATTCTTTCATTCAATACAACAATATCAAAAAAATAGCTAAATAGTACTTATGATTATCCTACAAGTGACATCTTATTCAATTTGCCCAATATAAAACATCTATTCATAAAAAATTATGCCAAACCTCCAGAAGCACTATTCAATAATAAGAATACCCATTCCTTTTGTGTAGGAAATTTCAATGGAAATTGATTGTACAATTAAAATAGCATAGGCAACACTATTGTATACAATGAAAAATATTATAGAATTGTCATCTAATTTACAGATTTAGCTAAATTTGATATTATTACTTAAACTATTGATTATGTAATTGAAGCTGATAATGCCAATATTACTCCTAACATATGAATATCATAGTCATTCTTTTCATCTTCATTGTTTTCTCCTAATATCTATAATAAAAAAGGAGGTCTTGCAATCAAAATTACACCAATTATACATAATATTATTATTATTAACAATTTTTATGTTAATCTATCAGTTTTCGTAATATATGCAGCTATTAAAGCAGTCCATAATGGTGATATTTTTGATAAAACTATTACTTCTGATGATTAAATCAAACCAACTGCCCAAAACCAAGCAACTGTTCCTAAACCTCCACATAATCCTCTCCATTATAATTTATTTAACTATTTCTTTGGATAACTATCTATTTTATCTTTTGCTATCCATTTTAACATTATTATTGTAAACAATGATCTAACATATAAAACTTAAGTTGGAGCCACTTCTGGTACTAATTTTATTGTCAATGCAGTCAATGCAAAAAATAAACTTGAAAGCAAACTGTAAATTATTGGAAATACTGTAGAATGTCGGCATTCTAATTCTTATATTAATTAATTCATAAACATAACATAGTTTATTTTTCAATTCATTAATTATACTATACTTTCATTATCATCACACTTTTTTATTCTTTCTAAATTAATACTAGAATCACATATTTGTAATTATACTTTTTAATTATAAATTCAATCATAATTATATATAATTATGCTATTTTTTATTATTTTACTTTTCAAATCATTAATTCTAAGAGCAACTCGTTTCTCAATCTTATTAAATTATTGTATACCAAGTTTAAATTAGCAGAATAATAATAATTACTACAAATTAAACAAATCTTTTATTTATAAAAATTATTAAAATATTTAGAGCTTTTAATCATGACAAATTCAGATATGTATTATATTAGATTTATTAAATAATAACTTTAAAAGTTTAAAGTGATCAATCAAATAAATGAATAAATCAAATTCAAGTTGTTAGAATACTTTCTCAAAACCTCCTAAAGGTTTTCTTAAGAAATTAGTAAAATTTAGCGAAACTTTTAAAAACAATGAATCCCTTCAATAAGGAGATCAAATCGATCAAAATCATCATCAAATAAGTTCAAATTACCTTTTAAGTAGCAGAACTTTAAATAAAAACCCTCTTAATTTACCTTTAAAACACTTACTGGCTATCTTAGACAATAAATTCTGTCATCCACCATTATATTAATAAGAATGATAAATTTTATAATTTAATGGTTATGAAAATCAATTATTATGATTTTTTCTTCACAATATTATATTTAAATATCCTATGGTTTATACTAATTATTATCACAATTTATTTAATTTTTAAGGCTAATAAATTCTTATAATTAATATATAATAAAGAAATAAAATTTATAATTTAACTCAAACAATTTCAATATAACAATTTATTTATTTAATAACAATTATGCTTAAGGAACAAAACAGAGAAATATTTAACAGAAAATAAAATTAAATGATTAGTCAAAGAATATTTGCTTTTAAATTATTGCAATAAGAAAACTTAATTTCTAATTTTGTTAATGAAAGAGATTTTCTATAAGAAATTGAAAAGAAAAACAGTATGAATTTACAAGAAAAAGTTGCTTTCAATAAAAAATATGCTCAATTATATAATAAATTACAGTAATAATATAAATAATGCATTTAAAATAAAAGAGAAAAAAAATCTGCAATTCAAAAAAGAGATAATAACCCAAAGCATAATCAATTATTGAAATAAATGTATTGATTCTATATTTTCTTTTTATTTAAATTATGTTGCTAATGTCTGTAAAAAATTTAAAATTTTCTAAAACATTTTATAATTATTCATTTCTATATAGGTATTAAGAGATAAAATTAGTTTCAAATTATAATTTTTTCTAGTCATTTGATTATTACTAATAGTGTGTAAAATTGATAAGATTTTATCAATAATCAGATTTATTTTAATTATTACCAATATATAAAAAATGTCAAAGGAGGTAAATAGGTAGGAATATGCAAGAAAGAAGCATTTTAATGATAAAAAAAAACAATTTGCAATTGACAAACTTAAGACTTAATTTCCAAAGACTTTGGAGTCTTTCTAAGAGGAAAATTAAGAATTGAAAGATTGCAATAGTTCAAAGGGTTTAGATTCTAATAAAGAAATTAATCATAAAGAAGGTTGCTCTCATGAAAATTAAAAAAATTAATAATAATAAAAAAGGAAACTAGTAAAAAATTATATTTACTACAAAACAGAATATAATTATGGAAGAGGTTATTCTCCTGAATATTATTTTGCAAGATAAATTTATTAGAAAAAATAGGCTGATTTGTTAAAAGTAGAGTTAAAATAAAAAATATTAAAGGGAAAAGATTATAATGACGATTTTTTATATTGAAATATAAGTGTTTATTATATTTTTATATTCTATATAAATAAATATAAATAAATATAATTAAATATAAATAATATTAATAAATCTTAAATATTATATTTAAAATTAATTTTGAATATGAAGGAAGTCAGAAAAACAAAAATTAATGTATTTTATTGAATAAAAGATATAAGAAATAATGAACATAATTTGTTATATATTCTTATATGATGTCTATTAAATTTAATCAAATATATACAAATAAATTCATCTATTTTATCAACATATTTATGGAATTGAACTTTTACATAATGGACAAGTGAGATTTATCTACATCCATTATATTAAACATGGAGGATGAAATACATGATTCTAGGAATAAAAATAATTTCTTACACATGGAGTATTCATTAATAATTATTTCTAAGTGGCCATATTAACTGTCTAAATAAGAACTGGTTCTTCAGAATTTAGGTTATATGCTGAAGCGATAGTTAAATTAACTAAGCAAATTGAACAATCATTTTTGGAATATTCATCTGTTGATTTAATGAAGTAATTAAATTTAAAACTTTATAGTATAAATAATCCATATTGGCATTGACAAAAGTATAGAATGAATTAAATTAGAATTATAAGTAAGATTACTCCAATAACTACTTAATTATATTATAATAATAAAATGTTATTAGAACAGCCTGTAAAGTATAAGGAAAAGACAACTCTTGGGAATATTACTCCAATGTAGTTATAAATGAATTTCTATCGTTTTCCAGTAAATGATGTGAATATTATTTAAGGCAATAAAAACAAATTTAGAAGGATCAATCCATACGAGTATTTTATTTGAAGGAATAAATATGCGATGGATAGCATTTCACCTAGAAATAAAAGGATTTCCTTTTTAGTATAATTATCTTTAAGCTATAAATAATATAAAATAATTACTGATAATTTGGCTTTCAATTTTAGATCAAATAAAATAGTAATCAATTGGCAAATTAAACATGGAAAAAAATAATAAAATCTTGAAGTATCAAAAAGTAGTGAACTAAATATACATATGTAAATATCTTAAATTAGTATTATAGACATAGTAAGTAAACCACCTTAATTTGGTTAAGGGTCTTAATTTAAATAATATTGTGAATTAATAATTTGAAATAGTGAAATGCATATGATAAGCATTGAGTATGTTTAAACTTGTAAAGAATATTTTGAGTTGTTAAAAATAAATAGTTTAATGTTTTCTTCAGTTAGATAACAATCTTTATGAAATTCACTATAAATGTTAAGATTCTTAGAATTTTAATATTTATGAGTTTCTAGTTAAAGTGTGGCTAAACATGAAAAAGGAGTATGATTCTTCTAATTTTGTAAAGTAACTTCAGCAAAGACATTATACCATGTCATACGACTAAATTAGTAATAAAATACAGATACTTTTTGACTGAATCAAAGTGATATGAACTATTACTTAATGAATAACTTAATCTAAAATGATTGGTTTCACTCTAATCATCATGATGTTTAGGATAAACTTATAATAATAAGTTTTAGTTGTCAAAAATTATGTTTAAGTAAACTAGGTGTTCTGAGCTTGCTGACCATTATCCAAGTATTAACTAATTCTAATTTTCAATCAGAAAATGATAAACTGATTAAGTATCGTCTTTGTCAAAAGTATTTTTGTTTGATACTTCACAAATTACGTAACCAAATATCTATAAAAACAAAATTATTCTCATTAAACTTATTTTATTAATTATATTTGTTTTAAAAAACTTAAATAATTTGAATTATTGCAAGCCGATTTGAGAGATGAAGTATTAAATTTTAGATAAATGTTAATATTAGATTTTAAATGAAATAAATACATAAACATCATTTAAATATATCAATCAACTTGCCTATTCCAATAGCAATTCCAATGACCAATATAAATGAAAATAAAGATATTCTTAAATTCTTAGGCATACGCTTTAAAAGTTCTGAATGATCATTACATTTAAATTCCTCCTAAAAAAAATAATAAAATATTATAAACTTCATCATTAAGTGAAAATTTAGTAAAATCAACTTAATCTACTAAATATTATGTAGATTCCATGCTTGCTTAAACTTAATTATAATTTGGTTATGTTTATGTTTTGGTAGGATCTTTTCCATATAAACAATTCAAATGTAAAGCAATAGGAATGATATATTCTTAAAACAATCCAATTACAGCACTAAATAACAATATTATATATAATTACCCACATAAACTAATAATTAAAGATAAATCAACTTCAACACATTAAACAATTAGACAAGTAATTGCATAAGTTAATGAAAATGCATAAAACTGCCATTTTGGTTATCTTTCTAATTCATAAATAAGTCCAAAAAATTAAGATCTTGTAATAAATTATAAAACTGGAAAGACAAGTGTTAATTGTAGAAACAATAAAACTTAAATCACAATTACTAATGGATTATCTTATGGATAATAATCTAAAAGTGTAGATCCACTTTTTCCATCTTATTTTTAATTATTTGCCAAAGCACCAGCAACTGCAAATGCACCAAATGTTCCAGCCATACAATAAACAAACCATGTCCATGCAAATCCTATTGCAATATCTCTATTATTATTTTATTATATCATATTATTCTTCATTATTGGTACAACCATAGATTATATTAATAATGCCAATGCAAATGTACCAGCCATTGTTGATACATCCCAACTAAACCATTTCAAATTATCAACCACTCCTTAATGATCATTTACCAACATATATATTCCCTCATATATTGTAAATATAATAAATGAAAAAACTGAAATAATTCCATATGGCAAAAGTTGCAAAATAATTCCTAATTTTTTTTAGAAAAACATTGGTAAAATAAATAAAGTAAATCCTATTCCTATCCATTAATATGAAAGTTTAGACAGTGTAATATCTGTTAGTGGCGCACTTTCTATGCCAATATTATCACATATTATTTAAATTAAAGGATAAAGTTGATTGCATATCAAAATCATATATATAATTCCACTTGCCCATAAAAGAATTACATTACTAATATTAAAAATAGTCTTCCATTTTACACCCAAAACTCTTTATAATGTATCTGGTAAATCCATCTATTAATTTAGGTAATTTATATACCTCCTCTTATTTATTATGTACAATCAATAATTGAGTTGTTCTACATGAAATCAATCCTATTATTATGGCTATTATTATTCCTAATCCTATGCCACATTAACAAAATAAAACTGGAAAAACCAAAGTACTAGTACCAACCATTGAATTCGACACAGAAATTATTGTTTGAAATGATGATGCTTTACCTAACTAAGCTATTGAACTCTTTTTTATTGATTTGATCAATGATTTCTTCTCCTTTTTTGTAACAGATTACTTAAGCACTTTTTGAATTTATTAGCTAACTTCAGCCTCTTATGCTAATTATGCCATAAAATTTATTAAACATTGAATTACACATCCTAAATTTTAAAAAATTCTCTTTTTTTGTTATATTTTTAGTCCTAAAATTCTACAAATCAAGTATGTTAGAACATTCTTAATACTCTAAAAATTGTTTTTGAGTTCCAGGAATTAATTGATAATGAATGTGAATTAATTAAACAACTCAAATCTTCTAATATTACTAAGTTTTGTTGGGATTTAGGCTCATTAAAGGAATAAATCCCAGGCAACTTAGTTAATATATAGATCAATTATGTAGTATTAAATGACAAATAAATCAAAAAAATTAAAATATGGGAATAATTTATTTAATTAATAAATTTATGGGAAGCACTTTAACATGCCAAGGCTAAAAGAAAGAAAAAAAGAAAAATGCTTAATATATCTTTATTATTAGTAAATTTATTAATATTTGTAATTATTTATCTATAGTATAGTTGACAATTATGAATTACACATGTTACTTATGATTTACAAAGATTTGGCAAACCGTTCTCAAAATCATTAAATCTGTAGAGAGAGCTTCAATACTTATTTTAAAATTATAGTTTGTAGAATAGTGATGATTAATTTAGGGAATATGGGGTGAATAAATATTCAATAAATTTACTCACAAATAAGAAGATTATATGAGTTTTGAAGAATTTCTGACAGGATTGTAAATGTATATAAAATGTTCAGAAGATCAATAAATTAAAAATTTATTCAGATTGTATGATTTACAAAATCAAAATGGCATTGCAAAAACTGATTTTTTATAAATGGTATATAATTCTATATTACATTTTTAGTTACATAATTATTCTAAAGAAGAACTTAAAATTATTTTAAATGATTAACTATTTTTAGAAGAATAATAAATTATAAGTGCTTATTAACGTAGAAAGCGTGTTAAACCTAGAAAAGGTAGTGAAGATTTTTTAAAAATGTCATGTAAATTATTTATCTGTTTATTTTTAGTGTAAATGTTAAGAAAACATAGTAATGTATCAGAAAATAAAGAATCCAATCCAAATGATCATTTAAATATTTAATAAGGTGATGGTTAATAAAGTTTAAATTCCAAATAATCAATTGATTAGATTTTCACTTTAGATAGTAAAGTGTAAATAAATGGAATACCAATAAAAGGATTTGGGATAAATCTCTAATTTTCAGTACTATTATAATATTAAATTAAGGTAAATGGATAAAAGATTGAAATGTAAGCAAATTTGAATTTGTTAATTAAAAAATATGTTGAAATGGTTTATAAGGCAAAAAATGATTTACCATTAAATTTAGAGGATTTTACACTTTTTGTTAAACATCATCCTAATTTGATAATGCCATTGTATTGTGTATTTAATTTTGATGTTTGGGGATTATAGAATAGTTTACCTAAATATAAGAGTTTGTAAAAAATATACTTAAAAATAGACCATTAGATATTTAAGGAGAATTGTATAGGATTTCAAAATAGAAGAAAATAAAAACAAAATTCTGTCAACTTTATCCTAATATATTAATGGAATTCTAGAATAAAAATGAGATTAAACCGACAAGTATGAATATTTATGAAATAATTAGAAATAATTTGTTTAAGTGGATTAATAATTGAAGAAAGAGTAGATCATAAAAATTAAAAGTTTGGGTTTGAAATATTTCATATGAATTAACATTATAGTCATAAAATATATCATTGTTCAGATGAAATGTCATTTAGAGAATGGTAAAGAGCATTATCTTTATATTTTAATGGTGAAGTCAATAAAAAATATTCAATTCTTGATAAAATAGGGGAAGGTAAATATTCAATAGTTTACAGATGTCAAGCTAAAATTAACAAATAATTTTATGCATTAAAAGTAATAAATAAAATGAATCTTCCATAAGAAGAATAAGATATTGTAAAACATGAAATAAGTATAACAAAATTGTTAAACCATTCTTGTATAATAAAATTGATAGATTCAATAGAAAATAGAGATTAAATTCATATAATTACAGAATTAATAGAAGATGGAGATTTATTTGATTATGTCTAAAATAAATAATATTTAGATGAAAATGAAGCAGCTATTATATTTAATTAATTACTTGATGCTCTGTCATATATTCATTCGATTGGAATAGTACACAGAGATATAAAACCTGAAAATATTTTAATGATTTTAGATAAGAATTCAATAAAATAGATAAAATTGATTGATTTTGGTTTGGCAAATCATCTTTCAAAGATTCAAAAAAATAATGAACATTAAAATTATCATTGTGGGACTTGTAATTATTAAGCTCCTGAAATGTTATAATTTTAAGAAATAACATTTGCTGTTGATGTTTTCGCACTTGGTGTTATCCTTTATTATATGTTAAGTGGATACTTACCATTTGATTCTGACATTCCATAAGAGATTATTTAGAATACTATAGATGGTATATATAGTATGGATGATTATCATTGGCAGTGTGTAAGTGAAGAAGCTAAAGATTTAATTGTTGGATTATTATAAAATTAGCCAAGTTAAAGACTTACTATTAAAGAGGCTAAGGAACATGTATGGATTAAAAAGAAATTTGCTAAAAATAATAAATTATGAATATATTTCATACCAAATGTCTATCTAAAAATCCTATTTCTTTCCCTATCATTTTTATACATTAATCAAATAATTTTATTCTTCATTATATTTATTAATCATCTTCCATATTATGTAGCATTAATTATAATTAAATATAATTCAAAAATAAATTCAATCTATTTGGCTAATTTTAAAATACTAACATATAGTATCATCTTTGAAGAGATTATATGATATTGGAAAATAAGTTCCAAAAGGAAAATATTGTTCTAGTAAACATAATTATTGAATTCTAGAGCAACAAACTTCTCTCTTTCTTAATATCTTAGAAAACTAATCATATTTTGATAGAGAAAAAATTATAATTAAAGAATATTTATAATTTTTATCATAATATTATTTTAATATTTAGATTAAGCAAATATAAATTTACCTAAGATTTTTATATAATAAAAATAATTGCAAAGAAAATTTAAACAGTATTTTTAAATAGAAATAATTGTTGCAATATTATAATAATAAATGTTTAAATATTAATTTATCTGTAATTAACAAATATAATATAATTTTATTTTAGAATACTCAATAGTTATTTCTATTTTAATATATTTTTTGTTTTTTAAATAAGGAGAGAGCATTTAGATTAAGAAAAGCGAAAAAACTTAAGAGAGAATTTATTGAGTTTCTAAAAGACTTGAATAAATTAGGAAGTAATTTAGAATTTGAATTTGAAATTTTTAGTGTTAGAAAATAGTAGATTAGTATATTAAATGTATTTGTATAATTCTTGAGGTATTTTTTATTCATTAAAATAATTTAGAATAAATTTAATATTATTTATGTCTGAATCAGAAAGTAAGTCAATAAAAAAAGCGCAAAAATTATAAGGAAAATTATCAAGAAGCCAAATGTTGGAGGAGAAATTTAAAATGGAAGAATAATTAAAAGAAATAAGAGAATAATATGGAAATTTACCTGAAAAAAAAGCTGAGCCAAAAACAAATACTCAATATAGATGGAATTATATCCTAAATGAAATGGTATTATTTTGATTGATAGTAGAGTGAAATGTAATAATATATGTCTAGAAGACTTGAATGTTTTAAATTTAAGACAAAGAAATTAGCAGAATAAGCAATTAATAAAAGGTTAAAATATTACGAGGCAATAAAAGAAAAAGAGAGGGTAAAAGTGAAAATAATATAAAGAATGAAGAAAAGAATTAATTTAGGCAATTACAAAGAGTAGCCAAAACAGTTTAGAGAGAATACTGGAAATACGTGTGGTAAATAAGAAAACAAGTGTAATAATTTAAGGATGATAAAATAAAAGAGGAGAGTTAAAAATAGAAATTAGGAGATATAGTTACAAGATTAAAAGAAGTAACAGAAGAAATTGGATAGAAATTATCATAATATTAAAATGCATAATAAGAGGATGAAATAAATTTGATACCAATAGAGAAATTTAAAACACTTTATTTTGAATTAAAAAGAAGATAAAATGCATGGCCAGGGTTTAAAAAATAAATTTAATCAGTTTAATCAAGTAATAATATAATATGAATTAAAGATATTGTTATTGATTTAATAAAAGTAGGATAAGATAGATATGAAATAGCAAAAGTAGAATCTAAAGATGAAGAAGTCGATGAGAGTATTTTAGATGCAGATAAATGTTTAAAAATATTAAAGAAATCTAAATAATTTCCATTTTTATTTGAAGCGGAAGATAGTAAATAAATAATAGTAATAAATTAGGTTTATTGGAGTAATAACCATTTTTATTAAATGGATAATTAAGAATATATTAATTAGTAGGAGTTCATTGGATGGCTAGTTTACATTAATAATAAATGAATGGAATTTTAGCAGATGAAATGGGTTTAGGAAAAACAATTTAAACAATAGCATTATTAGCATATTTAGCAGCAAATAAATAAATTTGGGGTCCTCATTTAGTAATAGTTCCAACAAGTATTTTGATGAATTGGGAAATTGAATTTAAAAGATGGTGTCCTGCTTTTAAAATAATGACTTATTTTGGTTCTCCTAAAGAGAGAAAATTAAAAAGATAAGGATGGAGTTAATTAAATAGTTTTCATGTTTGTATAACAAGTTATAAAATAGTTATTTAAGATAGTAAAGTATTTAAAAGAAAGAAATGGTATTATATGATATTAGATGAAGCTTAACATATTAAGAATTTTAAATCTTAAAGATGGTAAGTTTTATTAAATTTTAATACAAGAAGTAGATTACTTTTAACAGGAACCCCTTTATAAAATGATTTAGGTGAAATATGGAGTTTACTTCATTTTTTAATGCCATCTATTTTTGATAGTCATTAGGATTTTTTATAATGGTTTATGAGTATAGAAAAAGCAATTTCAGAAAATAAAACAATTTCAGAAGAAGTTTTAAGATAATTACATGATATTTTAAGACCTTTTGTTTTAAGAAGATTAAAAAAAGATGTAGAGAAATAATTACCAGAGAAAAGAGAAATTATTGTAAAATGTGATTTATCTAGAAGATAAAAATATTTATATGATGAATTTATATAATCATCTGGAAATTTTGAAATATAAGGCACAGATTTTGTATCAATAATGAATAAAGTTTAATAATTAAGAAAAGTGTGTAATCATCCTGAATTATTTGAATAAAGACCAGTAGAATAACCATTCTTCTTTCCTGCTCTAAAATTTACATATCCTAAAAGAATTTAAATTAATTTAAAGTAATCTCCAATATTATTAAATATTTAATGGCTTAAATAAAGATTTCCATCTTAAGAAGTATTATAATATTATTAAAATATAATTGAACAAAGAATTATGAATAAAAAAACATCAAAATTTGGTAAAAGATGGTTAGAAATAGAGAATCAATAATTATAATCTAGATTTAAAATGAATATGTAAAATAGTTATTTGAAGATTATTTTTTATCATGCATTATTGACTTATAATCCAGAAATTCTTAATTTTTGTAAAGAAAAGATAAAAAGTTTTTTGATGCCAACAGTAGAACATCTACTTGAAAAAATGCAAGATACAGTTAATGAATTTAGTTGTGTAATTAGAAAGGTTGATGCATTACCTTAATAAATTTATTATAGTCCTTATCAATAATAATAACAAGATTCTATTCCATAAGGAGTTGATTCTTTATTTTATATGATTTAGAAATAAAGAATGCTTTTTCCTAATAAGAAATTGTTAATATATGACTGTGGTAAAATGAATACATTAGTGTCTTTAATTTATAAATTAAAATCATAGAATCATAAAATTATCATTTTTACTTAGATGACTAAAATGCTTGATATTTTTGAAGCTGTATTATCATTAAGTAAAATTTCATATTTAAGATTGGATGGATCAACTCCAGTAGAAATGAGATAAAAGATAGTTGAAAGTTTCAATTAATTAAATATTACATGTTTTATCTCATCAACAAGAAGTGGAGGAATAGGTTTAAATTTAACTGGAGCAGATACAGTTATATTTTATGATACTGATTGGAATCCAGCAATGGATAAATAAGCTTAAGATAGATGTCACAGAATTGGTTAAGTTAGACCAGTTACTATATATAGATTAATAACTAATTCTACTATTGAAGAAAATATATTCTTAAAATCTTTATAAAAAAGATAATTAGATGATTTTGTTATGTAATCTGGTATGTTTAGTCCAGAATAAATATTAAAATCATTTTAACTTTTTGATGATGATAAAATGGATTAAGCTATGAGATAAGTTGAAGATAATGATGATAGATAAGCTGCTTAGAAAGCAATAATTGAAGAACAAAACTATTAAATGAATGGAGCAGAAGAAATTGAAGAAATTGAAAAAGGAGATAATATGGATTGGTTAATTCCAACTTAATTACCTCCTATTGTTAAATATGGATTAAAGATGAGTGATTGTATTGTTAATGATAATGCAGAAATATAAAAATTACAAGATGAAATGGAAAATGATGAAGAAGAAGAAGATGATGGAGAAAATGATTAAGTAGATGATGAATAAAATCAAGATGAATAAGATGAAGATGAATAAGATGAATAAAATGAATAAGATGAAGATGAAAATGAAGATGAATAAGATGAAGATGATAATGAAGATGAAGAATTATAAAAAATTGAAGAAGATTAAAAATAAAATAAAAAAAAAAAGAAAAAAAGTAATAGCAAAAGTGTTGATTATTCTGATTCAGAAAACCATGTTTTTTGTGTTGAAAATAAAAAATGAAATTTGATTCTAATTTCTATAATATTTAATAATTAAACTAAATTATTGAAAATCAAAATAAATTATATTTATACTTTCCTTTTTATTATTTTAAAATAATAATGAATCTTATTCTAGTATGATCATTATGGCATTAAATAAAATTAATATTCTCTAAAAATGATTTCTTTAGATTTGATATAAAATCTACTTTTCATTAGGTCAGTTTTGGTAAGTTCATTGAGGTAAGATTAGATTTGAATTTCTTAATCCTGTTGTAAACCTCTCTGGATACTAGATAAAATAGTTGTAATTTTAATATAATTTTTTTTCCATCTCTTAAAGATATACATTATCATTTTGCATTCACTGAATTGGAGATCTCTAAATTATTTGTTTTTCTTATCTTTTAATTATTTTGAAATTTCGATATGGAGTAGAATAAATAGGAATATTATCTAAAGTGCTGTTACAATTATGTTAAAGTAATGATGATACAATTGTTGAACATATTAATAAACATGTTTTGTTTATTCTTATTTATAATACTTATTTAACTCTACTGCATACTGAATTAAAACATTTAATTAATTTATCATCTAATCCAACAGAGAATCTATTATCAACTTCACTTTTTCGAGTTGTGAAATTTGATTAACATTTCTTTATAGATTCATTTTCTTCTAATACAGTTTCTAAATCCTATAATATTTTGCAAATAATAATGTTAAATATGCAATTTATTCATTCATACAATTAATTTAATTTGATTAAAGAGAAATTTTCTCATTCATTATAAACTCAAATTTAATGGTTGTTTACTTTAATCATCTATAATTTTATATTCTTCTTATTATTAATTATATTATTCTTTCAATTTATCATACTCTTCATATTAAGCTTCTTTATTTTTTAATAAAACTACTTCAATCTCTTTTTATTTTAATTAATATAATAAATTTTGCTTGTTACTGAAATCTATTAAATTTTCAAATAATTGATCTTACTCAAATTCTTTAATCTCTTTTTCCTAATTTTATGATTATGCAACTACAAACAACTCAGATGTAATTGATTTATAACTCTATTATGTTATCAATTTCAGGTGAAATAAAGACTTCTTTTCGACATTATATATCATTTATTACAAAGAGCAATTCATTCTATTGTTGTTCATTAAGTGTATTCATAAATTTAGTTAATCCTTAATGTCTTTCTAAATTTACTTTATTATTATTAAACATTTTAAAAAATTAATCGTTTAATATTTAAAAATACTAATCATTGCAATTATTTAGATAAAATATAAAGAAAGTAATTATTTAATTTTAGTATTGTAAATAATAAATTGAAATTGATGAATCAATTTTAATCTAGTTTTCTTTTTTTCTTGATTACTTCAAGATAATAAGAAAGATTATGTCTAAAACAAAGTTCAATATTAGTCTTACTCTCTTTTGTTAATCTATAATTCCATTAACAATTTCCAAAAAATTCTTAACAAAACATTTATCCCATGTTAGTTCCAATAAATTCTAAAAGTTTGACTTTTCCCATTCTTTCAGGGTTTAATTTAAGGAATTACTTAACCTAAGAATAGTCTAATGCTTTTTTAAGTTCAGGATCATCAGAATACTTAATTGAATTTTCTATAAATTGTTAGAGTTATCGAGCAAAACATTTAGGAAGGTTCTTTGTTTCTCCGGGCATTTTTACTTCTATTTTAGACTAGGAAAATATTTTAATAATCAATTACATTTTTTAATTGTTCTTTATTTGTAAGTTCTAAAAGATAGGATTCTTCAGATTAAAATAGATCAGGTCCAGCTTAAAAAGAAAATTGATTATTTTCAAATACTTCTCCAGATATATCTTAAAAGTTATTATTCTCCTCATGAATTTGATCAATTTATTCAAAATCTCTGACTTCATTAAATTGTTATTACAAATCTCAATTATAATTATGTATAAATACCATCATCGTATTTTCTAATTTACTAACTTTTAAATAAAAGATCATTAGCTTCAAAACTAGGTCTTTTTTCTAATGAAAAAATAAATTAAAAGAATTACCTTCATTATCATTAAGATCGGTGGGGCCTTCTTATGAGGATACATAACATAATCCATTATTGTCGTTAGAAAGCTCTAGAGCATCATAATTTGATGACATTTTTAATTAATAATAATGATTATTAAAAATATAAGCATAAGTTATGAATTATAATGTTAAGATATTATAAGTTTAATGCTTAATTCTATTACATGAGTCAAAATGGATTTTGTATTCTTACTTTGTTGCAAGTAGAATTTTTTTACTCTTTATATTACTTTTTATATATATTATGCAATATGATAAATATCAGAAATATATATGATAAAGCTATAAAATTTATATAATAAAAAAATATATTATATCACACTTTTATTTTTATAAACTTTTATAATTAACATTTTTACATAGTTCTTTATACTAAAATTATTATGTTAAGAAATTGGATTGTATTGCTATTATGATTTAGATTTAATTACTTGAGTAAATTATTGATTAATTTTATAATATACTCATTCTTCTATACTTATTGATCGTTCAAATTTATATATTTCCTCAAATCTCATCAATAATTTTATTCATTATGGTGATATTATAATATAGTCTTTTTTACAAACTTTATGTAAACAATCACTTTTTTTTCAAATGTGAATAATCTATCTATTATAGCAGTAGTAGTATATATTTCTTTAGTATTTAGAATCTCTAAGTTTTTTGGATGCAAGGGATAATGTTTAAATATTAATAAATTTGTTTAATCAAATCTATAGCCTAATTTAAAAATCTTAAACATTTTTTAATATTTCAATATTTTTAATATGGATATCCTTAATTAGTCTATTAGTGTTGAAATTTCCATTAATTTAAATGCAAACGGATTCCATCTTGAAATTCTTTGAAAGTTATTTCTTTGCTTTGATCAACATCAAAAACCCCAAATGCCAGTTTAATATCTTGATCTGTCAATTAACCATCAATTTTTCTATATGATTTATTATAAACTAGCATTACCTAAGCATTACTCCAAACTCTTACACATCTAATGTCTAAGAGTCTGATTTATCATACTTTCTGAATAGTTCATTAATATCGATCTTATATTTCTCAATTGCAATAACTAATTTCTATATAGTTACCATTGCTCTTTCTTATGCTAAATTTGGAGGTGTCTAATTTGAATTATTTGGTACATAAGCTGGTGGTTATTGATAAACTTAATTATATTATTAGGAATTGTTCATTTAAGGATAAGTTTACATATGATAATTTTATTAATTGGAACCAGAAATTGGTTGATTAGGAGGATATTACTATTAATATTATTATGTATATTATTAATATTATTATTATTATTATGGTGAATATTAATTTGACGTTTATTTTTAATAAGATTATTATTATGGATTTGTAGCTTATCTTTAATACTATTATTATTATTATTATTATTATTAAATAATTTATGGAGATATTGGTTATGTATTTTTGGATCCTTCAAATTCTTATCCACTTTGAACAAATTATTTAAATTATTCAGTTCCTTCTCTGGTTAGATTATTTTTTTAAGATAAGTTTTTCATTGACATTTAAACTTAGTTTTCTTCTAACCATTTTTTAAATTCATTCAATTCAATAGAATTACTACCATCTAAATCTATTTTATTAAAAATATATTCAATCTCCTCTCTCTCTAACTTAGGATCTATCTCATGTAATAAAAATGTTAATCTAATAAAATAATAAATGATACTCTTTCATATCAAGTGATTTGTCTCCTGATTTATCATATTTATGAAATACGTTTTCTAAATCAATTTTATCTTTCATAACTTTAAATCTCAAATCTTATACTAGAAACATAGCCTTATCTTCTAATTATTTAGTTTGATTTGTATAAAATGAAAAACTTTAACCAAAACAAGGATGTCTATATAATTAATCCCATCCTAATCTATTTTATTCTTCTATTTATAAACAACCTTTAATCATATCTAAAATTAAAGGATCAACATTTTTATCCTGTGGGAATTTTAATGGCTACGATACAATATTCTTTATTAATTCAGGAATTGATCTGGCTGTCCATGGAGCTAGGAGCATATCTCTAGATTGAATTACTCTAGCCAAACAGAGTCTCATAAAAAATGAAGCCTAAAGACCAGATATCGCTTTTTGATGTATATTTCTATGCCTTCAATAATTAGAGAGACTAATAGAGAGGTGTACCAACATTAGAAACTATCATCTATTTCGAAAAGTTATCTAAAGCTTTGGAAAATCCAAAATCTAAATAACAATTCTTATTCTTTACCAGCAATTTTATAAATATCCCTATTGATAAGTATATTAGCTGGTTTCAAATCTCTATGAATTATTCCCTTTTTAACCAATTCCATCATGCCCAAAAGAACGTCAATAAAAAATGATACAGCTTCTTTTTAAGGTAAAAACTTCTTTTTTTTTAAAAGACTAAGTTTAATTTAGTTTTACTGTTATAAATCCCCACCATTACAAAATTCTTATATTATATAATAATTATTGGATGTCTCAAGCACATCAATCAATTTAACAACATTGTTACCTTATAAATCTCTCATAATTTTTATTTCATTCATCAATCCCTCTCTCAAATAATCATCTTCATTAATCACTTATTTTGAAAGCATCTTAATAGCCACCAATTCTTTTGTTTTTTCATCTAAACCTTTAAAAACCTAAAAATTAATAAATCAAATACTTATCCATAAGATCCTTATCCAACCATATCACTCATCTTGAAGATAAATCGATCTACTTTCTTTTCTCGCATTTTATTTTAATTATATGTATATATATAAATAAATAAATTTTCACTAAAATTCGTTATATTCAAAGTTCCAGTTGTAAGTTGGCTATATTCAAACAAAATGACCAAAAAATCCAAAAACCTAAAGTAGAATATTGCGAATAAGTGAATTTATATGATTCTTGTATAGATTAAATTTATGAAAATAAAACATTCATTGTCAATATATAACTTGTTTTTTTATCAAAATTTTTTAAAGAATTCTATTTTAATATACTAAATTATATTTATATCCTCCTCGTTCATGTGATAGAAATAGAGGGATCCGAATAAGATACATAAAATAGCTACTATGATGGAAATAAGAATCAATATTCTATGTTACTTAATTTATGATGTTGTAGGATTTTTAATTAGTTTGTAGATAGAATTTAATATAAATGAGTTTGAATTAAAATATTTATTTATACATTTAAAGATTGTAGATTATAAATATCTAAAAATAAATACTTTACTTTGTTTTCAATTATATAGAAATAAATAAATAAACAAGTGCAACAACACAAATCGAAAAGATAATAATATTGAACCATAAATTTTATAAATAAATATCTTCAATTCCAATTCCATTTTCTTCAAGAATCTTTTTAGCTATCATTTTAATAGTTTCATTTTTAAAGCTACCAAATTTATCAGATTTAATAGATGGTTTGTTAATATATGAATGTGATTATTAAGGTTCAAAAGTTGAAGTTGTAACATCTTTAAAACATGGAGTTGAATTCTAACCAGATCTGCATCTTTAGGTATAATTTATACTTGATTTGTAGTTGAATCATCTTTTAATAAAGTTTAATCTGATAATGGACAAATCTTTGCCGAATTTCCATCACTTGGAACACAAACATTACATATATATTTAAATCCATTATTAAATTCATTACCATTCAATTTAGTTTACTAAGAGTGAATTTCTAACAAACTTTTCCTCCATTCCAAGATAAAAATTATTAAGGACTTTAAATATTATCATACACATAAATCCTTACACTACCACTAAAAAAAAGTGGAATAAAATATACTCACCAATTAATAATTTTATGTTCATACACTGTTTATTAACATTATTTTGATGTTTACTAAATCAATATCCTTTAAGGTTATTATACTCATTTTTACTAATTTAAATTAATTCTATTAATTCTATGTTTTATAAATTAATTCAACAAATCTATATCTTAATAAAAAACTTAAAGGATTATTTGTTGGATAGCTACTTTAAGCATATCGATTAACTTCTTAATATTTTGTTATTGAACACCAAACATTGTTAACTGTTATTTATTTCAATTGTAAAACATAAAATAAATTTAATGAATATTATAATGATATTATGCAGAATCCCTTTATCTATTATATATTCTATTTCTAAAGACTTAAAATATATATAAAATCAATAATTATAACTAAATTATCATTCAATCTTTTCTTGAAGCATTTCCAAATAAAGATTTTTTTGAATAATCCATATAATATCTTCTTGATGATCTTGTACTTTCTACAAAATTTTACATCTTGTTTGGAGACAATGATGATTTCTAAGGTGTCTCAAATTCACTAAAATCATCATATTACAAATTTCTAGTTGTCATTAAATCATTGAACTCTTTCATTAATCCTTACATTATTATCTATAATTTTTATAAATATTTCTATCTCTTTTATTTTATTTTATTTTTCTCATCTGCAAATATTTCAGATGCTTATGAGTAATTATTCTTTATTTTAGATGATTCCTAATAAAATTTGATTAATTCATTTAATTCTTCTTAACTTATTGTATGTAAATCATTCACATTTTTCATTTAATCTAATTCATTATTTTTACTCTATTGCAAAGCATTATAACTTTCTTATAATTTTTCATTCTCCTCATCTAATAAACTTTACAAATCACTTTTTATATTAGTAAATCTATATTTAATACAAGAAAGACAATTCTCTAATTCATTTTCAATTTACTTCTCTAAATCTTATTATATTGTATTTGTTATAGGTTAAAATTCTATCTAATTAAACGAATCTAACTGTTGTTTCACTTAATCATTAAACTATTCAATAGTTTTTCTTTAATGAGTTGCATGATCTTCTAAAAAACAATCAGCACAACCTAATCATTTTAAATTAATAATACCAATCTTTTGTTATGTTTAACATATTGGATCTACACAAATATATTTCATTCTCTATGAATCATGGTTAGAGTTTTAACAGTTGATTTAATCCATTAATTTTATTCACAAGAAAAGCGCGAAAGAAATTTGCGGTATTTATTAATTTTTTCACTCAATACAATTTTCATTTTAATTTTGTATATATATTTGATTTTTCGATTCCTAATCAAAAATGAGATCAATCAATCACCATTATTTTTATATTTTTTTAAATTAATTAATGATATATTATATTATATACTTTTTTATTCACAATTCAATGTAAATATGATCTATCTCTCTCTTGAATATATTTCCTATCAATATCATCCTTAATTGCATTCACCTATTTATATTTCTCTTTTTATCTTGTACCCTTTTCAATTTTAAATTATTATAAAAATACATTTATTATTTTTGAATAGAGAATATTTATATTTACTTTAAATATATACTAATCAATTCACCACTTTTCTGTATTTTATTTGTACTGTTTGTTGTTTTCTCAAAATATTTCATATATTCCAATAGCATAAATTTTAAATAAACCTTAGTATTATCTTAACTTAGAGAAGAATAAATTTTTAGCAAATA